TTGTGTGCCCAGTTTTTTTCAAATGCGCCATAACTATTTTGTGGTCAATTCCCAGTTCTTCAGTTACGTCGTAACTACTGATATGCCGATCTTGCCACACTTTTGCAAAAATGGCATCGATTTTATCCGTAATAGGGCGACCAGAGCGACGTGCATTTTTGACATCAAAATTTTCGGATTGAAAACGCTTAAACCAAATTTGTGCTACTCTCACAGACACTGCACTAGGTCCATAAACATCGCATTCTCGAGCATCGCCTTTCACGACTCGTCGTCACCGAGCATCGATGCCAGAACACTCGGCAACGACAAGTCGTTTCCTATTTTTGCGACGAGTACACGCCGCCGCCCCTCCCATGCGGGGCAGGCGACGAGCGTATGCTCTGCCGTGTCCAAGTCGCAACCACGATGGTGGCACTCTACCGTCGGCTCGGCTCCGATCCGGTGCAACCATGCCCAGTGAGTACCTGCGTGAGCCGGAAAGTGAGGCGTCCTCTGTCACGATTCACCCAATTCACAAGAATCGGGCGAATCGCCTCGACGGTCCTACGACCAGCCGAAGGATCGACCAGCCGCCTGGACCATGACTCCAGCACGGACCGCTGAGATTGGGCCCTCCGCGCTCTGACCACACCGGGGCTGGGACCCGCCACGCCCCGGGCACGAAGGTTACCCCGCCACTGATAGTCAGCGGCGGGCGCCTCCGCCTCCAGGACTCAAGGCGGCGTCCCAGTACACATGCCGCCTCGAAAGAGATGGTGCGATAACCACGGATGATCCTGACCGCGATGGTGCGTTGCGGCCGTTGCAGCAACTTCGCTACCCCCACGGCCAGTGACTGGCCCTACGCGGGCGCCTCGTATAAGGCGCGTCACCTTGTCAGGCCCCCCGATGTTGGGAAGAAGCCAGCTTAACACGCCGGCCACCCCCAACAAACGAGCACATTGTCCACCGTCAGCTGTCGTCTTTTCTCCTCTCCCACAATCTTCTTAGCTCCTTCCAATCTGGTTTTCGCAAGGGCCACAGCACGGTTACAGCTCTTCTAAAAGTGACCGATGACATTCGCTGGGCCATGGAAAACAAACAACTAACTTTATTAGTGTTGTTAGATTTCAGCAGCGCTTTTAACTCTGTTGACTTCGATNCAAACCGAAACGCATTACTGCTTCACGGCAGAAATAAGCAGGGCGGTGGTACCTATCCGCGCGGACTCACAAGAGGTCCTACCACCAGTAATTACGCAAATTATAATTTTGCGGGTTTGATTTTTATTACACGATGTTATTCCTTCACCGTGGAAGTCAATCGTGAACATTTGTTGAGTACATATTTCATTAGAAAAATTGATACCCGCCTGCGGGATTCGAACACCGGTGCATCGCTTCAACACGAATGCACCGGACGTCTTATCCTTTAGGCCACGACGACTTCTTTAAACGCCTGTGACGTATTTAATGTATTTAAAAGTATATATGTCAATCAGTGGTACCCATAACACAGGGAATCTTAACTTGGGGCCGGGGGACCCAGCGTTATTTGTTCTCAGTTATTTATTAATTTATTTATTTTATAATTTAATTCATCATAATAACAGTATTATTTGGTGTAATAAGTTTTTCTGCGCGCAACTTCGATTGCGTGGATTACAGATTGTATCGCATGGACAACGGGCAATAATAAGATGAACAGTAACCTATATCATTTCCCGAGGTTCAAACTATTTCTATACCAGATTTCATTAAAATTGGCTTAGAGTAGCTCCGGAAACAAACAGACAGACAAAAAAGAATTCTGAAAATCGCTTCTTTGGAATACTCTTCTCTAATTACCCCTTTCTATTTTCATTAATTTTCTTTATTGAACAGACAAACCGAATTCTGCTGTTTTATTTGCTATATGGCTGAATTGTGTGTCATATCCGTTATTCTTAATATGATGTGTTTGTATGGTATAAATAATGCCGTATTATAAGTTTCCCTGTTTAATGGGTACTAGTTCGCTACTTTGGTTTGTCTATCGGCCACCATTTTTTGGGGCGGTAGGAGTAACGTCATTGTCGAATCGACTTAAAATTTCTTTTCTCTCAAACAATTCGTGTTGCCCAAGTACTGAATGGAGACAGAGCTAAAGGCATCTCCAAGGCAGGGGAGGATTCGGTGATTCCGGGTGATTCGAGGATTCCGTATCGGAATAGCGTTTCTCAGAGTGGATATATCTCCTCATCTGACTCGACCGATGTTGTTCAAATTTATTTTCAAACTTATCGGGATTTTTTATTACTAAAAATAATTACGGACAGACATTACAAATTAATTGTTTTATTCATAAGTAGTTATCGGAGCTTTATAATCCCGTTAAGAAACACTATATTTATTTATTTACTAGCGACCCGCCCTCGCTTCGCTTCGGAAGCATTAAATTTTATTATTGATAGCTGAGTCCCGCGGGTCCTCATACAACGCGAGTCCTACTACAACGTGGGAGCTCATACAACGCGAGACCTACTACAACGCGGGACCTCATACGACGCGAGACCTCATACGACGCGAGACCGCATACAACGCGAGACCTCATACAACGCGAGACCTCATACAACGCGAGACCTCATTCAACGCGAGACCTCATACAACGCGAGATCTCATACAACGTGGGACCTCATACAACGCCAGACCTCGTACAATGTAAAAAATAAAGTCAAAGTTTACATTTGTAAAATAAAATAGTCATACGCTTATGACTACATTTAAATATTACACGCTAGTATTACATATATTAATATCGCTTCGCTTCGGAAACATTAAATTTTATTATTGATAGCTGAGTCCCGCGATGTTACCTGCGATTATTGTCGTACCGCGGGTAACGCCGCGGGGCGAAGCTAGTCTAAAAAAGTAACCTAAGTTAACCCTTATATCATCAGCTACCTATCAGTTAAAGTCTCGTCAAAATCGGTCCAGCCGTTCCAGAGATTAGCCGCAAAAAAGAGACAGACAGACAGACAAAAGTTGTAAAAAATGTTATTTTGGTGTATGTAGGTATGCATGTAGTAAAAAGCGGTTATTTCAATATTACAAACAGATACTCCAATTTTATTTATATGTATAGATTTTAGTTTTTCATAGGGTCTCTTTAATTTATATTGAAAAAAAAAAATATTTTTTTCATTAAGCTAATTAAGCTGCGATAATTCACTGTGAATAAGACCGCAAATTCAAAGCTCGATTTAATAACATGACACCAGACCGCATACATCTGTGCTAAGACGATAATTTAGTAACTGAGACTTACTACATAGAAGACATTAAAATAATGATGACTAACTAACACCAGGTTGAACAAATTCGTGTCAGATATATCTGTGTTAGTGGGGAATATATTGTGCAAATATTATGTGAAATTTGTTTACCTACATTTAACGCTACAATCAGAGAATCCGGGTCAGTACAATTCAGCAAATGCAAAAAGCAATACCCTTATATATAAGGGTGTGGTTGTCAGCGATCGTGTCCAATACAGGATGTCGAAATCTCTATTGTATTGGAACAACTGTTGGCTTACGAATTGCCGCTGCCTATTACTACCGCGGACCAACAAGCTTAGCGTTCCGGTTTGAAAGGTGAGATAGCTGTTTTAAAATCAATATAGAATTGTCGAATTCTATATTGATTATATAACAGCTAACTCATGTCTGAAGGTGGGTATGCGAACTGTGATGTTAATAGGCTCTAATAACTGCTTAACCCCAGGTTGGCTGTGAGATAGTTCACCCGTCTGCGCAATCTTTAACTGATTTCAACAGGGATCTAATCTGGACCTTATTATATAACAGTGAATATCAATAACCACTAGAAGAAACAACCAATAAGAATCACTATTGTAATTTACACAATCACTATTAATTTAATACTTTTTTACAATGGCTCATAATTATTTACATCACCAGTGTTTGATATTTATTCAATAATCAGTATTTAAATCAAAATTTATTATTTGGTTGTGTAATTGTTCAATGTCTCAAATTCGGAGAACAATGTTTATAATTTGATTTAAGTAGGCACCTCTGCCATTTCGATTGTCTCTTGCGTAGAAAACAATTTTCTTAGCAAACATATTTCGTAAGTTGTACGCGATAAAATACCCCGTGTTTGAGTACCATGAACAATGATCATGTAATTGCTTGCTTCAAGAATCTACTCCGGTATTTAGCCTTACGTAAATAACGATAGTTGGTATTCATGCGGACGGACTCTTCTTTCGAAATTCAGTACGTTTTTTATACTGAAGAAATTAGGAAGATATTCGCGTCTCATGATGTGATGGGGAGACCCACAACTACGTTTTATAACAATGTATAAGTTTATTTAGTTGGATAAAAGCCTTTCCACCCACAGCTTCACTCGCGTGGACTACGGTTTGTGTTGCTTGGACGAAGGCATTTTATAATATTTTATAGACTGCTTTACAAAAGAAATACATAATTCAAATGTGCAGCTTTCTTTTTCCCTACCTATTGCTGGTAGCCTGAGGGGCTATTCCAGCTACGCTTTGAATGGTAGGTGAGTTCACGGGTCACAACCTGAGAGTTTGCTAAGCCCTAGCAAGAGCAGTGCTTCGCAGAATCTACCCCCGTATCGGAATGGCGACCCACTGAAAAGATCCGATAAAAAAACTCAGTGGGTAATTTACCCTATACGGCAAAGTAAGCAAAATCGAAATATCGGTCTTGAGCAAATGACGAGTAAAAGAGAAAGAGGTACCTAACCCATACCTTGCCTTGTTGATAAATGAAATACATCAATAAGCCCTTGGCTCTAACGAGACCATTACGAATCTTAGAGGCCTGTGTTGTTAATATGTCCAATTACTCGAGGGTGCAACCTGTTATTAATTTGTAGTCATTGTCCTTAGCACGAATGAATATTAAATTTCAGACAAAGCTATGACGCACTTGCCCGAATCTTTAAATATATATTTATGCGTTTACTTTCTTCTTGTTTCAGATGGGTTGTTGCAAACTGACAATCGTTGATGATGTCCTGAACAGGTCTTTCTACAAACTGGGCCTGGCCGTCGGCAGACAGCCCGGCTACTTCATAATAATACCGGTACTACTAACCTTGCTCATGGTAACCGGATATCAAAGGATTCATTATGAGATGGACCCGGAATATTTGTTTTCGCCTGTTAGCGGACAAGGAAAGTTGGAAAGGAGGGTAGTTGAAGAGCACTTCAAAGTTAACTACTCGCACAGATTTAACGTTGGCAGAATTACACGAGCAGGTAATTCTTATTTATCAACTATGTTCTGGGCTCTAACAATGTAATTAACTTCATTCATTGCCATCGAATCCTGGCTACATTCAAATGGTACTAGTGATTATTTTATGTAAAACAACTTTAATGGAGACTGCTTGCGCGGTACCTACTGTTATACTGTTATACTAAGATTCAAGTCAATCGGATAATCTATAAGCCTACATCCAGTCAAGCACCATCGTCATCATCAGCGTACAGACCTCCACTCTTAAAGATATGAGTTTCCCCATGTTTGTTATATACAATAACCGGTGCTACGCTTTCTGTGTCTAACAAAAGTGCATAAATTTTTTAACACATACGTTTGTATTGCCTTCCCGTCTGAAAGAGCAAAAACACCTGCGTAGTAATAACATAAACGACCTATAGTTATTAAGTCATTGCTCTATCGGGTTTTATTTTATTTCCTCCAGAGATTGACAAGCACAAGGCTCATTTCTGGTGAATGGTTACCGTGATTGTTAGCCGCAGGGTACAGCCAAAACGCTGCCTATCACTGAGGATTTACTTGAAGGAAACTTTGCGTTCAGCAAACATCTTGAAGTCGATTCATACCAGAGCCAGTGTCATTGATATTACCTGTTATCTTTTGAATTAAACACTATTGTACATATATTTGAGGGGTTTCGTTGGACGACAGCCGCTATAAAAACATTTACCTCATGTTACTTGCAATATGAGATCAAAGTTTCAAAAGGTCAGGTTACCTTGGTGTACGTTCTTGTTGTGATCTATGTGGGCTACAGTAACGACTTAAAATCTGGCAAGCTCTATAGTCGCCTACCTATATATAAAAAAATCTCAATTTTAATTAGGTATAATTAGGTAAGGAATTTAAATAAAAATATATAAAGTTTTTTTTTAATTTCCAGGAAGATTTGGTCGAGTAATTATAGTGGCCAAAGACAACAATACCAACTTACTGCGAACCGAAATATGGAAAGAATTAAGGGAATTGGATGATCTGGTGCAAAACGTAACAGTCACGCTACCGACTGGAGAGACTTTCACGTATCGTGAAGAGTGCGCCAGATGGGAGGGGCAATGCTTCGTCAACGACATACTGAACTTAGACAAAATAATAGGGGAGGTAATGATCATTCTTCCTGCAAAATTATGCGGCGGTAATAGGGTATTGCTAGTTCAATTAACCGATTATGATACCACTCTTTTATTAGTGCAGACGGCCAGACGAGTCCGCGGCTCAACTGGTGTCAACCGGTTACCAGAACCCATATATGTACGCACACCACAAGCTGAAGGCCGACACACGCCTTGAAATATAAAATGGAAGTCTCAAATGTATTCAATAAATTCTTTACTTATAAATTCAAAGAGGCTCGACGGATTATTTAAGAATTATTATTGAAATTCCGACCTTGTGTTTCAAGATAAACAGCGGCATTCTCGTTTTGTTTTTAAGGGCTAAGCACTTCCACACCTCGTGTTATTACCTCGTTGGTCTGGTAGTTATTAAAACTGACTAAGGCACCACTAATTCAAATTTCGATTCTGTCAATATCTAACCATGAAGATAAAATATATTAGGTGTTCGAATTCTAAAATTCTAACTAAGGGCCCTTGAAAGTGGAAACTATGATAATATACTCTACGTTTAATCGGATAATAGAGGACTCTTCAATCAGCTGAAATGTTACAGTGACTAACCAATGCATGTATTTTTTCATGTCATTTGTTTGACTTTGAAAAATCCGCTCTGAACAAAGGGATTTAAAAGGAACTACATAGTGGAAGTGTGTCATCCACATATCTCAATACTTTCCTTTTCTTTTCACTTTCTCGTCAGAGAACACTTTTGAATCTTTAAGGCCGAGAGGCATTTATTTAAAAACTTGTATCAGGTAAAGGAGGCCAAGCGGCACTGTCGTTAACAGGAAATTTCCACTTAAATAGGAACAGTGCGGGTTTTCTGACAACTGTTTAACATTCGCATATCGAATTCTATGGTATTGTGTGATTCAAGGCGAAGAACTGTCATTCATTGAGTCATAGCGATTAATACGAAGATCCTATTATTTGACATTAACAATGGATAGTTATTATTACGAAGTAGATTCAATAAACACGTACCGCGCGCCCAATATTGCACAGTGACATGTATTTCTCCTAGTCTTCTATAATGAGAAATATATCGAATCATTGATATTTTATCAGCACTTCATCATTAAAAATATGTAGGTTTTTTTTATTGCTTAACGAGCTCACAGCCCACCTGGTGTTAAGTGGTTACTGGAGCCCTAAGGTCTAAGGTCTCAGGAAGGTCTAAGGAAAGTTCTAAGGTCTTAAGTATAGTTACAACGGCTACCCCACCCTTCAAACCGAAACGCATTACTGCTTCACGGCAGAAATAGGCAGGGTGGTGGTGCCTACCTGCGCGGACTCACAAGAGGTCCTACCACCAATAAGGTTCCCAAAGTCGTACAACTTTGTATCAAATATCGACAGGTGACGAGTGTTTTCTCGAAGCATTGCATTATTTAGAAGGCGTTAGAACGTCAATAATTAATTAAATCAAAAAAACACGTGTTCTTATTCATTAAAATTCTAAACACACATAGCAGATTTATGGTTACTTGCGATAACGCTGCCAACGCAAGGATTCGCTTCATTCTACGATTTAATTTCAACACATCCTATTACATAGGACTATGAGGAAGGAATGTTCAAATTATGAAAGGACCTTAATAACTTAAATGTTGTTTTTTCTAAAATGCTACTTACTATCTTAAATTATGTTTACTATTTTCATTAAGCATTTAAGACATGATACAGTGTGAAGGTACGCTAAGTATATAGGGTGTTCCCGATACAGTAGCCGATGGCTATATTATTTACATATTACGTATTTGTTTATTTTAAGCACATAATTTTTCACAATAGGTCGTTCTTATTTTAGTAGAAAACGTGATAGGTATTTTTCTTTTAAAAGGTGGAGCGCGGCGAGTTAAATCTGACTTTCCCAATAATGTTCAATCCCGTGACGTGGGAAGCACATGCATTTCCAGTATACTTTGGAGGAAGTCAAGTGGTTGATGATGTTATAGTGTCAGTGCCAGCCGTGCAATTGGTATGGTTTGTTAGAACGGATACTAAAATACAGGAACAAAGGTAATAATAAATATTAGCATTAGCAGGATTTTTTTGTTGTTTTCAAATGATAACTAACTAAAATTTTCTCTTCATGTTTGTTGTGGCTTATTTGACCTCGTGTCTCAATATGGGTCATCTAAACGATTATACCGGGTGAGCCGCGAGTTCATCGCTAATTGTTAAGAATCTTATGACAAATCACGGATTCTGTACGCTCGTATAACTCTATTGGGATGTTCAAAACAATGATTCGATTCTTGACAATGAAATTTTGTTTTCAATGGAAACAAAAGCTTTAGTATAGGATTGCACTGTGTTTCGTTTAGCTTTTTATTGTCTATTTTAAATGACAATAGGTCTTCGCTTTGTGCAAACACCGCAATATAGCTTACTTAGATAACAGACATCGATCTTGACACTGTTTAAGAAATCGTTACAAATACTAAACACTGCGTAACATTGTCAACAATACGAATAGAAAGGTTGGGCATGATTTAATTCTCAACAAAGTTTCACGATAACTTGTGTCAGAACTTCGACAAATAGTAATATCTGTTGAATTTTTTAGGGGTGCGGCGTGGGAAGACGCGTTTTTGGACGCGGTGGGTATCGCCGAAGATACTGGCCGATTCAAGCACATATCGGTGGCTCGATTCGCTTCACGAACTCTTGACCATGAACTCGAAAAGAACACAAGAACCGTGATACCGTTCTTTAGTTCTACTTTCATTTTAATGGGTGTATTTTCAGTCGTCACTTGTTTGATGGGTGATTGGGTCCGTTCGAAGCCTTGGTTAGGATTACTGGGTAATATATCAGCTGTTATGGCCACGGCCGCAGCATTTGGCTGCGCGATATATTTAGGCATCTCTTTCATTGGAATAAATTTAGCGGCACCCTTCCTAATGATTGGTAAGTGAAGCCATTTCTATGAGTTTCATTAGTTGTGCTTTGGTTTAAACGTTATTATTGAATAACTCTCTTTTAATCTGGTCAGGTATCGGCATTGATGATACTTTTGTGATGTTGGCTGCGTGGAGAAGGGCTTCACCAAAACTACCGGTTCCGGAACGCATGGCATCTATGTTATCAGAAGCCGCTGTTTCCATTACGATAACGTCTGTAACGGACATGTTGTCATTTTTCATTGGAATCTTTTCCCCGTTTCCATCTGTACAAATATTCTGCATGTACTCAGGTATTTTATTTTTGTTTACTTATGTACATTTCAGTTTACTATTTAAAGTAACTAGTGTTCGTCCACTGATCGAAATTCTACCATTATCAGCGACACTTCAAAATTTTCTTTTATCGCACTAATACTTGTCAATATTTTCTAAACAAAGAAAAAAATTGCCTGACAAGGTCATACCCGATCCTGTGGATCAAATGGTAAACAGTCGACGTCGCCCTAAGCACGTCATAACGGATCCTCACGATCCATAACGCTGCCTTTAGGTGCCACAATTAACCCATAGACACAGTCCACTGAGTTTCTCGCCGGATCTCCTCAGTGGGTCGCGTTTCTTATCCGTTGGTAGATTCTGCGAAGCACTGCTCTCTTGGCCAGGCTCTCTAGGGCCAGTGTTAGCAACACTCACGGTTTGAGTCCCGTGAGCTCACCTACACGTTAAGGAGAAGCTGAAATAGCCTCTCAAGACTATCAGCATAGGTAGGAAAAAAGCCTGGCAAACAGAAGGGAACATATGATACTTATCTGTTCCAGTTGTCATTGGCTATATACACACTAAGCCAAATTTCTATTACTTTTAAATGATGAACTTCAATTTCAGGTCTGGCAGTGTGTTTCACTTTTGTTTGGCATCTAACATTCTTTGCCGGTTGCGTCGCAGTTTCGGGATATCGTGAAAAACAAAACAGACATACAATTACTATGCTCAAAGTTTTGCCTGAATCGAGAGCACGTAAAGGTAGTGTTTTTTCTTGAAAATTTAATAGATATGTGTTTTTGTTTGTGGGTTCCCAAAAATTGCATTATTTAATGCTTTTGATTTTTTATTTTGTTTAAAATTCCAAAATGACTGAGTCGTTCCTGACAAGACATTGGCAGATTGGAAACTTCTAAACAACAATGTAAAGTGTCCGAAAAAAACAAGAACAAGGCATTTTGTTAGATTAGTAAATTACCCTAGTAACTAATTAAAATTTCAATCAACTATGAATCGAATTCATTCTAATAGATGTACATTAAACTGTTGCAGAAGAAAAATCGTGGTTATACAGGGCTTTCTGCAGCGGGGGCATTGATCCAGCCGATCCCGATAATCCAATTGACAATAAGGAACATTGTATCATGGCCTTCTTCCGTACAACCATGGCCGATTTATTGAACCATAACGGAGTTAAAGCTTTCGTAATAGTTATATTCCTACTGTACTTGGCTGGAGCCGGTTACGGTGTTACCAATCTAAAGGAAGGTTTAGAAAGAAGGAAGCTGTCTAAAGTGGATTCATACTCTGTCGAGTTCTTCGATAGGGAGGATCTTTATTACAGAGAATTTCCATACAGGATACAGGTATTTTTACGAGATACATAATAACCTCTATTTATCAGTTAGACGGTACTCAAATTTTCTTTCTCCCCCCACAGGTGGTAATTAGCGGTCAATACAATTATTCAGACACTTTAGTACAGGCTGAAGTTGAAAAACTGACAAAACGTTTGGAAAGCACATCGTACATATCGAATTCACTGTACACGGAGTCGTGGCTTAAAACGTTTTTGGATTACGTATCTGCTAATAACGACTATTTGAATGTGACTATCGATAACGAAGTTGACTTCATACAGAATCTCAAAGAGGTATATATAATCAGTGGCTTAACATTTTTTTATTATTTCCATTTTCTGTCCAATTCTTTAAAAGACATTGTATCTTTACAGTTGTGGCTGTTTCCCGCTAATCCTTTCTCATTGGATGTCAAATTTAATGACGCCGGAGACCAAATCGTTGCTTCCAGGTTTCTGATACAAGCTATCAATATAAGTGGTACGAACCATGAAAAGGAAATGGTCAAAGCGTTAAGAACTATAGTTGCTGAATCACCGTTGAATGCTTCAGTGTTCCATCCGTATTTCGTATTTTTCGACCAGGTAAAAACTAGTCTTAATTATACAATGTTACAAATTATATGTAATTTAGTACTAATAAACTATTCCTTGCTTTTATTTCAGTTCGAGCTTGTTAAGCCTACATCAATTCAAAATTTGTGCTATGGAGCATTAATGATGATGATTACATCATTTATATTCATACCAAACATCTTGTGCTCACTATGGGTGGCGTTTAGTATAATATCGATTGAGGTCGGTGTGGTCGGTTATATGGCTCTATGGGATATAAATCTCGATTCAATATCAATGATCAATCTCATCATGTGCATCGGTTTTTCTGTGGACTTCACTGCACATATATGCTACGCCTACATGGCATCTAAAGCGAAATACCCTCACGAACGAGTCAGCGAATGCTTATACTCTCTGGGATTGCCAATAGTGCAAGGCTCTTTCAGCACGATTCTCGGTGTCATCGCACTGCTTCTCGCAGACAGTTACATATTCTCTGTATTCTTTAAAATGGTATTCATGGTGATATTCTTTGGAGCGATGCACGGTCTATTCTTATTACCGGTTTTACTGTCTTTGTTCGGACCGGGATCGTGCACAAGAAAATCAGACGATATGAAGATGTCGAAACTCGAAAAGTTTCCTAGCCCGTACTGTATACCGCACCCTCAGCTGATGTTGAACGATCAAATTTACAACAGCAAAAATTTGACCCCTAACGGAGTTTATAAAGGCTACGTGGACGATAAAGACCTGGGTATAGGGACGTCAGGCGAAGACACAAGTGAAAGCAGTTCTAATCAATCACAAAGACGACAAATCACCGAAAATGACAACGGACGCAAGCAATACGATGAGACAGGTTGGAAAAGATCGAATTATTGCCAAAGTTCGAGCCAATTTCAACCCTCCGGAGAATTAGATCCTTTCGGGCAAGACGTAGAAAGGAACTGGCATCGACAGCGCTATGAAAATAACCGTCGTACTTTTGAGAATTACGGTAAGCCTACGCCCATTTCGAGGACCCGAGACGATGATTGGGTAACATCAACACGCAAAACCAGCGACACAGGACCTCGTCGAGAGGGTACATATAGAGTAATGCGGGCGCATTCACATCACAACCTCCACAGGCCCAGAGCTCCTCGTCGATCTAACTCTCAGCATAATCTGGATCATTTAGATTACGTCGCAGAAATGCGATTTCCCTGACGTTGACACTGTAACCTCTCTAATATATTTAAGATAATGTACTGCTCAATTGTGGACCAAAGTGTTAAGCTACATGCAACCTTTATGCTAATGACAGAAAAATCTTTTTTGGTTTTCTCTCGAACAAAATATAATGACTTGTCTGCTGACAGAAATGAAATAGATAACTATTTATTGATAAGTGTGACTGGAACGCACGTAGAATTAAAATTAAGCTTTTGTGTATTTTATTATGGGGTACAGGGGAACGAATAGGCTAGACTTATTCGAGGCAATGCGTTCGTTTAGGTACAAGGTTGAATGTGTAATTTTTTTAATTAAACGGATCACAAATATTCCGTTCATAAATTAATTGAATAATAATTAATAAAATAGAAGGGGACCAAAATATTATATAATTGATGTTTAATTTAGAAAATACAGAATATTATTATATTACTTGAGTGGTTAGGTTTTTACTTCTTGGATATCAAGTAGCAATTATTTGAAAACACATTTTTTTTCTATAATAATTTATTAGAAAATATAGCAACTACCTAGTTCCTAAACTATAAACTATTGATTCAGTCGCTAAACAAGGCTTGAGTTGCTAAAATGCAAAACTTAAATCTAAAATATACTAATATATTGAAGAAAATAAAACATACACATTAATTACTCCAAAAAAATCAACTTACATAATATAATAAGAACTAAATTAATATGTGGAACTGAAATATGGTAAATAAACTATTTGACATAATATATATAAAAGAAAACCTTACATATATTAAAATGGTTAAATACATATTCTGTATTTATAAAATTATCTTGGCTATTGATAACGAATGCTGGATTTTTCTTAATACCACTAGCTTCATACGTGCGTATGTAGTATTATATATAAGTAGAACGTTTATGTGAAGAATACCTATACGAGTATACATGTAGAGCTTTAATGTTACCTTTCGAAATAGATTTATTTTGTAAATATTATTTGTGATATGATCTTGATGCCATGTCTGTATGTATTTCTAATAGCTGGGTGTAAGAAACCATGTGTAAACAATACAATGTTTCCATTTATAATAAAAATATAAATATAAACAAAAAAAAACGTATTTATGAACATGAAAGTTTAACATTATTTGAATGAAGCGTACAATTGTGACCTTTGTGGTCTTTAATTTTGACTGAATATTGTAAATACCAACTTGTTTTATATGGAATAAAATTAGTTTTAATATTAAAGTATTTTTCTTTAATTAACAGACTAGCCACTAAATTTTATCAGTTAAACTTAGAAGAGTTTTAGATTAACCTACCTACATACTAACTTACAAACTAAATAATATTTAGGTGAAAAACTGGAGTTGAGTTTTTAATGTTGATATTATTATACAGAATGAAAAATTAAACGTATCGTATCGCATTGTAAACGTAACTAAAACGTAACGCAGTAAATTCTGTGAATTCATCAGTAGGCTACTTACTTTGCACTTGGTTAGTCTTTAACATAAAAACAAATGTATACTATAATTATGATCTTGGTGCCTAGTCCGATAAAAACAACATAAATAAAAACACTAAGACACCAAGAAGGCACATAAAGTTAAGTCAATAAAAACTAATAAATAATGAGAATCCATACGTGGTTAGATTACTGTCATGTACAATCTAGTTTGGCTTATCGTGAACTCTTTGTAACAACTGGCTACAAAGCAATATTATATCTTTAGAATCAAATTTCTCATATAAATAGTCACCCAAAATGGATAGTTCCGTATTTTTATTTTTCTCGCTTGTATGCTCTAATATTTTCTTTAATACTGCATAGGTATCTCCCGTAGTCATTTTCCGGATTAGTGTTTCGGTAATGTTATAAATAGTCATTTTTTCTGCCAATTTCTGCACCGACGATCCGTCCAGTTGTTCCGAAAGCCGATCCACAAAGTCTGATCTCTGAAAGAACAACAAATATTTTTATTCGAAATGCAATATTATGTTTATTTTTAATAATATCAAGGCATTTTAGAGCCGTTATGTATAATATCAGGGCATTTTAGAGCCGTTATGTATACTTTACTTATGGCAGTACTGTTGTATTATCCTGATAAGGTCTGAAGCGAAAATCTCATGGGAATTGATTTATAGGGATGACCATTATTTCATTGTTATACCATGTATTTATCATCATCGTGTCATTACACGAAGCAGTGTGCTTAGTGCATGTTTTTTAACGTTCTCGATAGCGTAAAAGTTAGCTCATATTTGTATGGAATGAAATCGTTTGCCTACGTTTGCCGCTAGGGGCGCTGTTCCAACTCCATACAACTTTGAGTTAACTTTTACGCTATCGAAAACGTTAAAAAACGCGCACTGAGCACAGTGATGAAACTTATGACACACATAAAAGTGGTCACCGGTGCGCTCATCGGCAATAGCAGTGACAATGGTATCAAAACAAACTGGGTTTAGACAAACATTTTGCTTATTTCAGTGTCCCATGTCCAGTTATTTCAATTATTTATTTTAAAGAAAACCGACAATACGTTATCACACAAGCAGGATTGGGAAATCATTGTAGAGCCGAACAAGCAATAAAGCTTATAAATATGTAAATACATATATCGATAGCGCATAACGCACAGAAATAAACATAGTGGTAGCCTTCACGCTTTCATGGTACAGTAGTCGGCACGAGCCGTGAGCTCTGACCTTGACATGCGCAGAAGTGCATTTTTAGATCAGTTTAGGGGAACGAGGCAAGAACGGGGGTGGCGCCGGCCATATCGATTACGCGATTGGATCGTCCCGCGTCGCGTCACAAGCAGTCAGTTGTGATTCGTTCCCTGCGTTGTGCACGAGCATCGCTGCAGTAAACTACAATTTCGTGCAATTTTATTAACCACATATTTTTTATCAACGTCATTTAATTAATCCAGGCACTAACTTCTTATGAATAAATTTAATTACAGCGTAAGTGTACGATGCGCAGGCGACCCCCTGCGCTTTTATCGAGAGCTCACGACTGGTGCCTCCTGCTATACTCGAATCACGATCAGCAGAGTATCACTACTATGTCAACAAAAGCTTATTATGAGAAAACTTTTTTGACTAACCTTTTCCAAGCAGAATGTAACCATATCAGCTGTGGATTTTTCCCCAGATTCTTTAGTTTGCATTCCTGTATCTACCATTGTAGCACTTTCCGTTTGTAAAGACACGGATGATGTCGACACATCACATGTTTGAATTTCAACATCATTTATTGAGACATTAATAGTTTGTGTATCAATATTTATCTTTGCAGTTTCCGGTATCATTCTCGGATCATCAGTCACATCGGTTTTAACCTCAGAATTTGCAGCTTTATTCATCGCAACATTCTTCAAGGCATACAGATATAACGCGTTTTTAGCTGTTTTCACTTTTGGCGCCTTTATACATAATCGATTTACCTCCAATTCAGTCATTTTAGCTAAATCACCGATTGTGTTAACTTTACCCTGCAATTCTTTTATGAGCAACGATTTCATCGTGACAGAAGACAGGTCCGCCGCAACATTATCAATGGGATCACTGCAGTTTATTAATTGAGGACAAATCGGGTCTGTATCATTCAGGTCACTTATTTTCACAATTTCTACAACAGGAGTCTGTTCTAGCGACGATATTTGTGTATCGTCTTTACTGATAATGTCACTGTCTGTCTCCATGTCAGTGAGTGATGTTAAGTGTTCAGTAGTATCCTGAGACTTTAAAGGAGTTTGTGCCTCGTCCAAAGATTTAAGTGGTTGGATACCACTAAGAATATCATTATTTGAATCAACAGTAACATTTACTAGTGAAGTTTCAATACTTGATTGAGTATTATCACTGCTATTCAGAATTTCAACATCTGTGAAACTCTCGACGGCCTTTGACAAAGCAGTTTCTAACTTGAATGCACTGTCGAGTCTCTTTTGGGACTTGAAATTGGAATGAGGCCGTGTTTGCCTTTCTTGACGCTTTTGCGCCGAATTTTGTGGTGATCTCAGACCTATTGGTTCTATGTACTTTTGTACAGATACCGTAGTTGATACTGGTGGGTCGTGGAAACTGACCCGTTTTCTCTATAAAAGAAAATAACATAAAATAACAAAGAGCTAAAACAGTTATTGTATGTGTTTTTATATTTGTAATAACTTACTTTATTTGCAGGTGAAACGGTAGCTTCATCAGAGATCTCGGCCAACTTTCTTTTTAAAATAGGAACTGATGGACTCACATCAAGTGCTGGNCGTAGTTGACACTGGTGGGTCGTGGAAACTGACCCGTTTTCTCTATAAAAGAAAATAACATAAAATAACAAAGAGCTAAAACAGTTATTGTATGTGTTTTTATATTTGTAATAACTTACTTTATTTGCAGGTGAAACGGTAGCTTCATCAGAGATCTCGGCCAACTTTCTTTTTAAAATAGGAACTGATGGACTCACATCAAGTGCTGGTAAAGTTCGTTTTAGTCTTAAGAAAGTTTCGCTGTCCTCACTTTCCATTGTTGTTTCTATTCCGCCACCAACAGAGTTATACAATATTCTTAAATTTCTTCGAGCCGGTGTTGTTGACTGGTTATTTTTTTTACTTTCTTCATAATCAGATCTGTCAGGTTTCATAATTGAATTTAAATTATCAGGAACACATAGGCCGAGCATTTGAGCTGCACGGCCGCCGGCTCGTACTTGAGGTTTGTTCTTTTTCAGTGACTGTAAAGAATTAGGACTTGTGTTGTTGACAACTACTTCAGGCCTAGGAGGAGATTGGTCTCTTTTATCTGGAGATACTTTTTCTTCTGTAAAAAATTCTGGGGACCCCTTTTCGAATGGTTCTCCATTACTATGTACTGGCGATGTCAATTTTATAACGACGTAGTCTCTGCTCGTCTCCGGAGATGGAGATTTGTCTTCAAGATCGGGCCTTAATATTTTTATGGGAGAAATCTCAACTGTATTATTCAAAAAGTCCTTTTTTCTCTGTTCGTCGTTCTTGTATGGAGAAGACACGTCATTGGTAGACTCAACTACTACTGAAACATCCATTGATTCTGTGAACGTTTTTGTAGCGTCGTCTTGTGTATTGATTTCAGTTTCATTACTTTGGTTTATTGATTTTTCCTCTTCCATGCCACATGGCATATTTAGATTCGAACTGGTATTGAATTCATCATTGTGCTCAATAGGTTGTGTGTCTGCTTCTGCTAATTCTTGACTTTCAAGTTGAATTGATTTTTCTTCACTACTAATCGTTATTGGCACGTCATCATCGTTTATAATAACCACATCGTCTGATATTTCTTTTTCAGCTAAAGACTCTGTGTTTGTAATGTCGCTTGATTCCGTTTTATTTTTCTCTTCTATGACAGTTTTATTTACAGGCAATTCAATATCGTCTTTGCTTTCATGACAAGAGTAAGGTGTCTCATTAATAATTATAGACTGTGAATCGTTCATCATGTTAGAAGAGTTTGGTTCTATGTTTGTAATATTACTTTCAACAGTTTTATCTGCTGCACTTTCGTTTACTGTGACGGGGTTATTGTCCGAATTAATTTTCTCATCAGAAAATTCAATGATTTCAATATCTGGTTCCTTCAATAGGCTTTTAGTGCGATTAACGTTTGCGTCGTTCTTAGAAATAACATAAATTTTTTCAATGCTGACAATTGCTATCTTTTTAGGGGTCTTTTTTATAACACTTACAGTAGTTAATGTCGAATCTTGAGAGCTTTCTATAACATCCTCAGAACAACTTTGAGATTTATCAGTTTGTGAACTTTCTCCTTGAGAATCAGGTGTCTTTGTACTCTTTAATTGCGTTATTTTCAAACCTTCTTTTAGATCTTTCTTCCCGGAATTTTTCGTTTTATTTAACTTTTCCGATAAACTTGTCTTATTAGTTGTGGGAGTGACTAAACTTTTTCGAGTATTTCTTTTTTGAGATGTTGTAGGTGTGTTTAAAAATGGGTGCCCTTCAACCATGTCAATGGCTAATTCCTTTTCAATTCGTGATTTTTTATTAGTGCTCTTTCGAGCAGAGCTTTCTTTGCTTTTAGTTGTGATTTCATCTGTAGAGTGTACTTGTACAACATGAGTAATCTTAGCACATCTTTTTTCACTGGTATTTTCTTGTGAGCCTGTAGAAACATTATCACTGTCTACCTTTTCCGTCGTTGCCACGAAATTCTTAGTCGTTATTTTTTCTTTCTCAATTATGTCCTGCTCCTTGGTTCCTTCATGTAAAGTTACTGATTGTATACTGTCACTAGTTTCAATACTGTCACTTGGTTCAATATTATTTACTTTCGGTGTTAGTTTCGCTACCTCCGTATTTTCAGTATATTTATCACCAGTGCTCTCTATTAACAAGACTATTCCAGACAAATTATTTTCTTCAATATTTTTTTTGACCGTGTCAGTTATTTTGGAACTCTTTTTCATTTGTAAATCTGTTGTTATATTATCCATAGGCTTCTCCACAGTTTGATCATCAGATTGTGAATCTGTCTGGGAGTGACGCCGTTTTTTTAGAGCAAAGAGTTCCGCATCATCAAACTTTTTAGGCTTCCTTTTGACACGAGATGGCCTATCAGAGAGCAACAAAGATGGGGCTGAATTAACGAGATTTTCAATATTTACGTCTGTGGAAGTGGAAGTTTTTACGGAATTTTCCAAATTTTTATCTTCAGTAGATGCACGCTTTTCTGGTGTTATAGATTTCTCAATCAAATTCCTGACATTATGAAAGATTCTATCTTTTAATGCCATTCGTGGTGTTCTTGATTTGGGCACTTCTCGTTTTTTATCAGTAGTAATTGATTTTGGGCTTAATTCTGCCTCTATTCCAGATGTTGTTCCTTTTTTATCCCCAAGTATGTTTTCAATAATAGTAGGAACAACGTCGGTACCTGGCATTTCTTTAAGATTAATTTCTGGATTATCAAAATTGTTCACGGACTTGCTGTTTGATTTACTATTTGTTGTTGTGTCTTGGGAGTCTGTTTTCCACTTTGTTAATTTAAATTCATCTTGAGATTGAGATAAGTCTTGGTACAGGGCAGGTATATCTTCTCGTTTTCTTGTGAATTTTTCTTTTTGATTTTCTGTAAGCTTTTTAGGATTAAATTTCCAGTTTGATTTGACAACAACAAATTCTTCGCCATTTTCTACTACTGTGTTTACTATGCTAGATTCTCGTTTCTTTTTCTTTGTAACTTCCTTGGCGTTAGGCGTACAAGACTTTTTATTAGTAGCCTCATTTTTGTTCATTTGCTTTAAAGATTCACAGTTTTCTAAATCACTATTCATATCCCGCGGGCTGTTCTCCTTATCTTGTGTAGAATTTAATTTCAAAATGGAATCTACAGCATCAAATAATATTAACTTATCATTAAAACATCCAGCGTATTGTTTTAGAACATCATATAAGATTGAATGAGATTTTGGGTAGAGTGCTGTTTGTAACACTGTATAAACTGATTTCAGCAATTTTCCTATTAAAATTTGATTGGTATTTTGTACCTGGAAAATAAATAAGTTTGTTAAGTGTATTTTAATACATTTAAAGTATTTTTAAGTTTACTGTGAAATTCAATTGTAACTGTCAGTAACCGACTACTTACAGCACTGTTTTGTTTTAAAATAGGAATCAATAGTTTCATGATTTTTTTAACACACGTCATTGCATGTTCTTCCAGAGTTTCGTTAACTGATTCTGTCACATGATTACAAATTCCAATGATGATGTCAACTAACAGTGGAAATATATCTTCAATGTCTTCATAATTATCGATTCTGTTAACCAAAACTTGCACTAACTCTACTTGTTGGTCGTATTTTGAACCTGCAAGTAATTTTTGATAATGAAACAATGAAACCAATAATCATGACTATGAAAGGGTTCTTGTTTTACTAGTCCCCAGAAAGTATTCCATTGTAATTGATATTTTTATTTAAAAAATTTATTACCTATTTTAATTATTAACCATTTTTTATTAAGCTATAACCATTATTAACCTTTTATTGACCAACAGAACATCTATACAGAACAACAATCTAAAATTTTTAAATAACAGAATGATGGTAAAATATATATTTTTTTTTTTATTACTTAGATGGGTGGACGAAATAACAGCCCACCCGGTGCCAAGCGGTTACCGGACCCCATAGACATCTACAACATAAATGCGCCACCCATCCTAAGATATAAGTTTCAAGGTCTCCAGCTGCCCCACCCTTCAAACTGAAACGTATTACTGCGTCACAGCAGAAATAGGCAGGGTAGGTGGTACCTACCCGTACGGACACACAAGAGGTCCTACCACCAGTATGCAGTCAATAATAGTAAAGTGTAACTCACCTGCATCTTTCGTTAAACTATTACTAAGGATAGCCAACAAAGCACACAATGACATATATGTGCTAGACTGTGTAACAATGTTTGAATATAGAATTATATTTGATATGTTCTCATCCAATTCAGTCTTTTTCAATTTTGCTAACGTTGTATTGTATAGCGTGAGCCAAGTTTTAGCAGAATATTTAACCTGTTGATAAATATTAAAAATGTAAGTATTCATATTTAAAAAAAATGCAACAGTAAACACTCAAGAAAAGAAGTATTATGTCCTGCAGTGAAAAAAAAACAGTTCAATATAATAGTAATATAAATATCTACTAGTAGAATCCTTTTGGGCATCAATCAAAACAGAATCATAGATTTAATTTAAATATTGAGGATGATAAACGAGATGCGATTATCACAAACAATAATCCACATCAAAATTTTCATCTATTATAATTAATATAATAAATACAATAATATTCAAAATTATACTCCATCATGATTTTAAATCTTACCTAATACCTAAGTAGTTTTATTGAAAATTTGTACTCACATCATTAAATAGATTCATTGATTTCAAGGGCCATATAACCATGTAAGATAAACTAGTTGAGCAGAGATTGAAATCAGACTCGCATAATAATTCTGCCAATGCTGTCCAAATCTTAAGTGTGTTGTCATTTGATGGAAGTTTATCCAAAACCCATTTCAAGAATATAAGCTTTTTTGAATTTATAGATTCCTCAAGAATAAAATATGCTATGGGTTTTAATTTTTGTATCATCTCTGTTGTGTTTTTACTGTAAAATATATGTGTGAGATTAAAAATTCCATTTTCAGTTTCTTAAATATAAATTTTCATTGAAATTCTTCATGTTAAATATGTGCCAAATAATTTAGTGCTATTTTAATTATATTTTAGATTATAATTACTTACTGACGATAAAAAGAATTAAATGCTGGATCTACAAGTATGCTAATAATTCTGTGCAGTATTCCATCGTCTTCAGTTTGCGAGTTGAACAATTGACTTATTTTCGTTTCGTCATCAAACAAGGTAATTACTAATGAGTTAAATACAAGTTCAACTTTTTTTTGGTCACTTTTACTTTCCTGTAAGTTTTAAAATATTTGTTACTTTCATATACAAAATTACAATAAAAGTTGTTACTTTTAAATGTAAATGTTATTTAAATGAAAATATTTACCTCAACAAAATTCTCAAAATGGTTTAACAATTCATTAACTAGATCTGTCCTAATATTATTATCAGGCAATTCTCCAACCGTCAAAAGAAAAGATTTCCAAATACATGACATTTGCTTTTGTGAGTCCTCGTTACCCTTTTTTATTAGTAAATTTATAGCAGTTTTCAGTGAATAAGACCAATCATGCCAATGTTCTATTAAATATTTTTTTTTCAATAATCTTTCCTTTAACCTTGGCACATCAGTGCATCCCTCACAACCAACATGTCCAACAATCTCAACAAATGCATCAACACATTTCATTGATAGCTTGTCTGATATTTGACCAGGAATAAATGAGGGTTTTCCTGATGCATTGTATTTTCCAAAACAAAAATGTAGAAATGATGTCAGTACTACATCAGTAAATACACCAAGTCTCGTACTGAATTTCACTATCAAGTGCCACCATGTTTCAAACTTAGCTAGAGCTGTCTCTTCAACTTTTGCATTATTAAGCCTTAGTGGAATCACAAGTAATTTTAGCCTTTTGTTTACACAGTTGTCATTCGTTTCTTTGGCAAATGTATCAATTAGAACTGACCAACACTGAAAAGCTCTACAACGATTATCAGCATCAATCTTGAATGCTGCTTCAACNTTCACTATCAAGTGCCACCATGTTTCAAACTTAGCTAGAGCTGTCTCTTCAACTTTTGCATTATTAAGCCTTAGTGGAATCACAAGTAATTTTAGCCTTTTGTTTACACAGTTGTCATTCGTTTCTTTGGCAAATGTATCAATTAGAACTGACCAACACTGAAAAGCTCTACAACGATTATCAGCATCAATCTTGAATGCTGCTTCAACGACAGGCAGCATTGAGTTGATTGGTGTACCCATACCTGAAACGTTGCGGGTTATTTGATGGCCAAGAAGTTTGATGCATACAATCCAAAGTCTGTGCCACAGTGAACTGCCATTTTCTAGAAGCTTCTTCATTAGAAGTGGATACCTTTGATGTAAATGAACATAAAAATTAACATTGTTCTTGTAAATCTTCTAATACATATTTTAAAAAATATTTGTGTGTTCTTTCTGTGCACTGGTATCTCTGCTATTTATTAGAATTTAAGATATTAATTATTATAGTCCCTTAACAAAGGATTTCCAGCCCTTGTATTCTATTATGATAAAAGTGTGCAAGTGGTTTCACTGGGTGCAAATATATTGTATGTCATTATTGTGTAAATGTACAGACAACATTAGGCAGTTACTAGAGCCCATAAAAAACCACAAAATGAAGGGTAGTTTTCACCTTGAAACAGTAAATTGATGTCAAATGGACAAATGGAATGGACTGGACAAATGGAATTAGACTGGAAAGCATGATTGATTCGCCACAGGTGTTGACAAGATTAATACAAAAACATGCAGATTAATCTATCAGCTAGGCTGTGAGCAAAAACAGGTATATTGTATTGTAAGGAGCACAATTCTGTCTATTTCTACTACAAAGCAATCAAGATTCATTATTATATAATAAAATTAATTGCATTCACTAGAAGCTCCAATAACCAATTAAATCAGGTGGGCTCTGTGACATCAATATAATTAAATAAAAGACAGTAATGGTAAAATACTTCACTGGTGGTGGGACCTCTTGTGAGTCCACATTGGTAGTTACCACCGCCCTGCCTATTTCTGCCGTGAAGCAGTAATGCGTTTCGGTTTGAAGGGCAGGGCAGCCGTTGTAACTATACTGAGACCTTAGAGCTTATATCTCAAGGTGGGTGGCGCATTTACGTCTCTAGATATCTAAGGGCTCCAGTAACCACTTAACACCAGGTGGGCTGTGAGCTCGTCCACCTATCTATGCAATAAAAAAAAATTAAATTTGACTTAAGAATCACTAATTGTATTCTAATTTTAATATTATTATTTTCTATTCGCTATCAATACTTACCTACTAGGATTAGAAATATTTTGATATAGACATTCCCAATAAATGTCTTTGGTGTAATCTATCCTCAAAATTTCATTAGTCAACAGTTCTAGAAGTTCGATACATTTCATACAAGAAACACTACAGTCATGATTCAAATAAGTAACTATTGTAGGTATTAGCTTTGATAACCACACTGATAAACCTTCATTCACAAATTCTATTTTCTTCTCAGGTGGTAATACCTTGATGATTTTCAGGATTATCTGAAAAAACTGAAAGAAACCATATTTTAATTAGATTGCTACATAAACATTTTGTAAAAATCAATCACTGATGCATTTTTGGACAGCACAAACCATACAGATTCTGTAAATTTAACTGCAGCATGCAGTCAAATTGAACAAATATATCATCTGGCTACTAACTACTAAAAAGATGGTATAGTTCAAATTATGGACAGTGGACACAAGGAAGTAAAAAGCAAATTTATTCAAATGGTAATTTTATGGATCAAAAATGTATCAATAAATTAAAATTAAAGAACTTACCAGGATCCTAGATTCCAGTGGAAATTTGTGATATTTACTAACTTCAAAGAATTCCATAATTTTATTTGTATAACACATAGCGAGTTTAACAAGTGTCTCATCTGGAAACTGTATCATTGTTTCGGTGCATAAAGTTCTTATGTGTTCTATTTTGCTCAATAAAGCTGTAGCATTGATTACATCGAGTATCACAAGAGCAGTTGACACAAAATTCAGAGTTTGTGGTAATTTTCCAGCCTAAAATAATTATATTCAATCTTAAATGGATTTTTTTATTTCTACACTGGGTAGCTCACGGCTGACCTGGCATTAAATGGTCACTGGAGCCCATAGACATCAACCACAACAATACAACTGCCAATCTTGAGACATAACTTCAAAGTCTCTGTTTTTAAAGTATAATGTCTGCCCTACCCTTCAAACTGAGAGGCAGTACTACTTCATGGCAGAAAGAGGCAGGGTGGTGGTACCCACATGTCCAGGTTCACAAAACACCTTACCATCAATTTTAAAATAGTGTCAAATGACTTTAGCACATGCACAGTCAAGTAGAAATTCATATTTTTTTATATTTTTGTATTTTTCATAATAGATGTTTTTAATTAATCCCAGAATAAGCTGCCTGCACAAAGGTTCCTAATCTTTAAAGACAATAATCCACATCTAAATTTGTATTTACCTATAATTATTTGTTTTACCTTAATTTTTGCAATTAAGTTTTGTACTTAAAATTAAAGGAATTAAATTAATTTAACTAAGGGATGTAATACAGAATACATTAAGAATCCTACATTACCTTCACTCTTTCTAAGATTTTCAAGATAATGGTTAAGTTGAATGCAGTGTATTTCATGTTCTGTTTCATATCATGTTCACAAATGTTCAAAATTTTCTTCACTACACTAATATTTACATCCACTTCATCATCTAAGCATTTTACCAGAATCTCATAATTTTGGCGTCTGCTTTTGTCATTTTCGAGGGAGTTATCTTCCAAACGGCAGACAACTTCCTTCAGTAGCGCTGCATCGTATTCAGGCATTTCTGTGAAATAATGACATGAAAATGTAGCTTCTAAATGATGATCAACAAAATGCAGCATTATAGTTGTTATAATTTATTTTATTTTAAGTAAAATATATTTGAAACCTTTAAAACAGTTACTTTGTTAGTTCATTATGGAGATATTACCATAACTAACCCTACTATCACGGTCTTAATGTTAATAGGATAGGTAACAAAAACACACGCATATATATTGTATTGAAACACTTTGGTCAATGTTTGAAAATAAGATTTCTGTATCCAACAAACAAAAGGTGAGGAAACTAGCTTCAGCTTGTACATAAGAATGTGACACAAGTACATACTTTATGCAAGCTGACACAGAACAGACCGTTAAAGAGTTTCTGTTAATTAAAATTAATATAAATGTTTAACTATATTTTTATCCCTTACGTACTTGGATATTCCTTGAAGATATTTTACAATTACCTTAGGGCAATTTCAATACAATGTTAAAAAACAACAAAACGGCATTTTCTTACTTCACGTATTTTTAATTCACGTACTATTTCTGGCGCGAAGAATGACTTTGACATTTGACAGCAGTTGAGGAGTAGTTCTATTTTTTTAACTGGAAAGGCAAAGGTATCATACCATACAGACTAATCTTTTGTGTATTATTTTTTGAAAAATAATATGCAGTGAAATGAAATTGATTTGATTAATTTGAAACATTAATGAATTGACACCAAACTAAATGAAATGAGATAAGGTGATATGGCATGAAATATAAGCTCAGTAAAATGGTGGTTATTTATTGAGACTTTTTCAGTGGACTTTTTGGAGCATCCCGAGAAATACGTCCAATGGCTTTGTGTCATTTTCCCACATTTGTGCACTTTCATAGATATTAAACAGCTAATAAACCACCGTTAACTACACATTTAAACCTGGAGAAACACTAAATAGACAAAATAAAACAATTCACACAAGCTAGGGTAGCTAGACTTCCAAATAGCTGGTCTAGGTAGTATATCAGGAACAAAAATTTCAGTGTTCATTTTTTGCGGCGAAAATAACTCAAACTCATTTAATCACTGCACTATTTGCCGCGACTACCGCGCGACTCCCAGGCTCGCACCGTCCTGATTCATGCATTTGTATTGCTCGCCCGCCGCGTCGCAAATCGGCCGCGCGGTTCGCTCGGTACATTTCGCCGGTCGTTTCGCCGGTCACCGTTGCGCGTGGCTTGATAAGTACATTGCTATGCGTTTATTTTACAGCCTGGCCACGGGACATTCGCCGATACGAATATTCGCGCGTTGCGAACGGCGAAGCGTCTAGCGACTAAAATAAGCGCATAGAAATGTACCTAACAAGCCACGCGCACCGGCGACCGGCGAAGCGACCGGCGAAATGTACCGAGTGAATCGCGCGGGCGACTTACGATGCGGCGAGCGAGCAAAACAAATGCACGAATAAGGACGGCGCAAGCCACGGAGTCGGGCGGTAGTCGCGGCGGATAGTGCAGTGATTAAATGAGTTTAGTTGTTTTCGCCGCGAAAAATGAACGCCGAAATTTTTATATTTTATATTTTTTATTTATTTTTTATTTTATATTTTTAAAGTCGTCGTGGCCTAACGGAGAAGACGTCCAGTGCAATCGTGTTGAGCGATGCACCGGTGTTCGAATATCAGGCGGGTACCAATTTTTGTAATGAAATACGTACTGAACAAATGTTCACGATTGATTTCCACGGTGAAGGAATAACATCGTGTAATAAAAATTAAACCCTCAAAATTATAATTTGCGTAATTACTGGTGGTAGGACTTGTGAGTCCGCACGGGTGGGTACCATCACCCTGCCTATTTCTGCCGTGAAGTAGTAATGCGTTTCGGTTTGAAGGGTGGGGCAGCCATTGTAACTATACTTAAGACCTTAGAACTTATATCTCAAAGTGGGTGGCGCATTTACGTTGTGGATGTCTATGGGCTCCAGTAACCACTTAACACTAGGTGGGCTGTGAGCTCGTCCACCCATCTAAGCAATAAAAAAAATAGCTGAAATACTAGCTAGACCAGCTATTTGGAAGTCTAGCCACCCAAAGTATTTCTCGTACTTCTTGTGGAATTCTCCATCTATAGGTATACTCCGATTCTTATTAAAATCATGTACATCTTTTCCAAATAATAGGTCCAGAACCAAAAAACTATTAATTTGTAAGCAATATCGAGATAATTTCGATATAATAGACATTTCGCTGTCGGACTTCCTTACTAGTCGCGGCGGCGAACGTAAGTACCCGTGGCCTGCAAACGGTGCTGCGCGAATGGTCGCCTCATCCACCGCTTCGTCGTTCGCACCGCCGATCCCCGTGGCCAGGCCGTTAGTCGCTAGACGCTTCGCCGTTCGCACCGCGCGAATATTCGTATCGGCGAATGTCCCGTGGCCAGGCGGTAAATGCTAATATTTGGCGTCCAATAAGCACGAAAGTGATCGTTAAGCGATGAGTAATGCCGCTAGCTGTTTACACGATCGCGAAGCAAGCTCGAATTAAGCACACAAACCGTGTGATTTCTCGAAGAGGGGATCACGATTGCCAAGATCTTGTGATTTAATCTTTACCTTTTTTCTTTTATGCTACGTGAAAGATAAGATCCAATGGCTGCAAGCGTAGCCGTGGCGGCTAATTAGCGGATATTATTTTCTATTATATAAAGCATTCCAACTTTACAATTAAAACGACTACCCCACCCTTTAAACTAAAACGCATGACTGCTTTCGGGAGAAATAGACAGGGTGGTGGTACCTACCCGTGCGGACTCACAACAGGTGACACGCAAATTATGATTTTGCGGGTTTGATTTTTACCACACAATGTTATTCCTTCGCCGTGGAAGTCAATCGTGAAAATAAATGGAAAAATTGGTACTTGTCATCGGGATTTGAACACCGTTGCATGGGTAGATGCGAATGCACCGGACGTCTTATCCTATAGGCCACGACGACTCCTGCAAAATAAAACCTTTTGTTAGAAGACCCTATAATTAAGTTAGTAACTTAAACAAATAAAAGTATACTGCAATAGCAATGCAATGCCGATTAGAGAAACCGCTTCTAATTTTAAAAATGTACGGGCTTGGAAAATTCCGCAATTGAAGAAGCTTCAACAACTATACCGAATTATTTTTTGTTGCCCTTGCGTTCATCGAGAATACGACCCACCTGATTGATGGTGAATAGCTACCGTTGCCCATAGACTTCAGCGATGCGAGGGGCAGAGCTAAGCCGCAACAATATTTAAATTTACTTTTAAAATTGACCGTGAACGCTAATCCCAAAAACAAAACGATTCGCTGTGTGTAGGTTCCCATAAGCACAAAACTCATCAACAAAGTCCACGATGAGACGCTATTACTTAAGATATAAATTTAACATATATATGTATTGAAGCTATTGACTAAAACACAAGGCATTTAATTTTAATTGAAAACTGCATTTAGCGTGTTGTAGCGTGCGAAACTCGAATCGCAAACATTTCTAATGCTCACTACAGCTTCTTGAGTGGGCACTGCGCCGACACAACACACATTACATGATCGTTATTCGAAGGCGAGACTCGTTCCGTGCGCTCGCGCATATTTGTGTCTCTTTAATTATTATTTTACTACCGACTGTTGCATCGTTCGTATCGCCGAATGTCTACGCGCTTCATGTCGAGCATAACAATCAGTGTATCCAAGCAAAGCATATAAATTACATCTAACTCCATATAGGGATGGAGAGTTCGTGTGGTGGTGGTTCTGTGTCCAAATGACTCGAAGGCTGGTTGGTACTGCTTCAGTGCGAAATAAAGAAGCGCAGTGATAACGTTTTGTAAGTATTCGTGGTGCAATGCCGGGAAATTCTGGAAGCCCTTTCTGGGCAACGGTAGATTTCGACAGTGAAGGTAGTGATGTACCTTCGCCGCCTCCAATGAACAGACTATATTTGGATCCTTGGGATAATGAGGCCTACGGCGTTATGCCGGTAGAGAGAACTGAATCAAGTCAAGGAGACAATTTTAATTCATTCGCTGGCGAGCCTGTCAGTGCTAGTTTTTATTATGTACCGACTAAAAACTATGACTCTGGTGAGGAGCCACCTCTGCCTCCTCCGAGAAGAAACAGAGTTAATGAAGAAGTCACACAAGAACATATCTATGGTCGAAGGAAATCTTCACGGATTGCTGTCACTGAATGTCCCGAAGCACTCGTTTATAGCGAAAAGCCATTAAGTAAGTTATAATTTAAAAATTCACCGGAAAAGCATTTCTGTTCGTTTGTCTATACATATAACTGAATGTTTTCTTTTATTACTTTTTTATTTTTTTTATTGCTTACATGGGTGGACGAGCTCTCAGCCCACCTGGTGTTAAGTGGTCACTGGAGTTCATAGACATCTACACCTTGAGATATAAGTTCTAAGGTCTCAGTATAGTTACAACGGCTACCTCACCCTTCAAACCGAAACGCATTGCTGCTTCACGGTAAAAATAAGCAGGATGGTGGTACCTACCACCGGTTATTACGTCCTCTATGCTACTCTAATTACGTAAATTACCTATACTTTGTCATATTTTTTGAAAACCCTTCGTTGATTTAAATAATTAAGCCTTACAGGGCTAAACCTATTAATATATGTATTACTATGCTTTTTAATTCCTGAAAAAATGTGTTGAAATTGCAATCTTAAAAATTAAATGTATTTATTATCTATGGTCGATACTGTGCGGTCGTTGCATTAAAAATAATCAAATATAAGAAAAAATAATAATAAAACAAAGTATGTAATAGAAACTTGTAAACATATTTCTAAGCTGCCTATAACTTATTTTATAAAGCTGAACCTCTTTTCTTGACAATTTTATTACTTTTAATTAAATATATCTAAACCTAAAACAGCTTGTATTGCATGGACGGGTGAATGCGCTCACGGCCCATTCTGGTGTTTAAGTGTTTACAAGTGTTTTGTAGGCAGCGGCTTGGCTCTGCCCCTGGTATTGCTGAAGTCCATGGGCGACGGTAACCACTCACCATACAAGGGAAAAAAAAGATAACAAATAGGACGGGTTTATCGCGAATCGTGTATTTCGTCTGAAGTGTGCGATACCCAGAATTATAATTCAACAGACCGAATAATGTGTTGTGAGTCAGGGAGGGATGCCAGTTCTGGTATCTATACACTGGAAACAGCCTGTGAGTCGTAAATTCAACTGTATATATATTTGAATGAAATATTTTCTACTGCTACTAAGCACTGAATTCAATACGAAGGCTTATCACTATGAAAACCCAAATTATTACTAATATAGAATTTTTTGCGAACCTTAGACATATTCAAACATCGGTAACGGGCTACAAATTGTAAAGTATTTGTAACGTCGGAAATTATTGAATGCCAATAAAAACGCGAGTTTAAACCGTAAACGTTTTCGTTATGTATACGTTTTTAGTTTCATTTATAATCATTTTATTTAAACAGCTTCTAATATTACAGGAGATCGCCGCAGGTCCATGCATATCGAAGAACCGATCTATGTACCACATCCGATGATCTACGAGCCTCTATATGGACCGGCTATGCCTCCACCGGGGTATATGCCGCCGCCACCTATGCCCCGCATGTCTGTCGCTCATCACCCTGACTACGTCATTGCTAATATACCTCATCCGCAGTCTCGAAGGCATTCAAGGTGATTTATTTAATTTACAACAACTGAAACATATTCCTAACCGTGATTGCAATAATAATTATAATCGAAATAATTTCAAGTCTGTCAATGTAAAATGAATCACTTGCTACTTCCGTTGGTGACAACTTCTATGGGATATATTAAGAATTTGGATAAGTGCGATTATTAGAACAAAGATAAAATACTTTATAAATGACGAAAATACATCGTTTTATCCGTTGTTTTATCGTCTCTGACAACGAAAAGAAATTTTACAATATCGTAAGATGTTTGACAAGCAAACTAGTTATATGCAAGATATTGTTTATCAACATTGAAACAACGAAGCAGTTTTTATCTATTTTTATTATTTATTTTTTGGCGTTGACGTGCGTATGAATTCACAGCCCATTTGGCGGGTAAAATAAATTAAAATATTTATTGAAATTCATTAAAATCACAACGAGAACCGTCACCCTGATTAAGAGGTGACGTCCGCAATACATAGAACTAATGATTAACTATTGTTTTAACCACGAATGCTGAATCGTAGAATTTAGGCATTATCATACCTAGTGTGTGCTATGACAGAAGCGAATAAATTTTAATACACAAAAAACTTGGATAACGCTAACGATTTAAGTTTTAAATTGCATGCTAAAAACAACCGCCCACTCCAATCATCCACCTAACGTAAAGACTCGCTCTGTTGAAGCTCTTCTTTTTGTAGTTGTCACTATAAGAATATGGTCTCAGACCGCCTTTGACATGTTGTGTATTTGTTGGTAATATTGTACCTAACAGAGATTCGTTTCGCGGCATATTCGCAGATCTACGAGAATACCTACTCACAATTACTTAAAGTAAACGCACCTTGTACTTTTTCTTCGTAATCTTTTTTCCTGTACTAGATTGCAAAAAAAAGATCGTTCAAAGGTAAAGAGGCCGCCAATTGCAATTCTTACTGGAATTGTTATTTTAAATATAAACTTCGTCAAGTTCTCGTGTTTCAATACAGTTATTTGGTTACTTATCTGCTTCTCCTAATAACGCACGCTTCGAACTGTATGTGACTGAGTAATAAAATTAAGCACTGAAATTATTAGGAAATTGATTAAAAATATTCCAGTGCACGGACATTTATAAAATTTCTCAAATGGTTCAACGGCCATTATCAGAACTATGCTTACTCAATGTATCGGGATTGCGTTAGACAACGCATGAAACGGCAGTTTTACTGAGATAACGACGTATGAAATATTGTAAAGAGCGGCTTTACGCGCACTGATCACGACATTCGAGGTTTCGTAGGAAAACAGCGTTTTCACGCTAATGAGACCGAGTTACAATTCAACAGATTAGTAGGTACGAGAAACATCTCCATGATAATAATAATTTCTATAATTTTACAGTGCTATGGTACGCGAACGGTGTAATTATTATAGGTAATGCACTTTCCTAATAGAAATCATGGATAAAAACACGGAGCCACAGTTAAACTCCAATGAGATCGCGTTTTGCTCATGTAAAATTTAAATTAGAGCATGAGTCAGGTGTTTTTTTTTCTAGTTTATGTGTGCTTGAAAGGCTATGTGGAGAGTCCACAAAGCAAACCTTGTATTTGTTTTTATCTTAACTAATCGTTGCTAGCCTCGAGAGGCTATTCCAGCTTTTCTGGACTGGTACGCAAGTTCACGGGGCTCAGCCTGATAGACTTTGCCAACATCTGCTCTAGAAAGAGCATTGTTTCGCCTAGATGGGTAGACGAGCTCACGGTCCATCTAGTTAAATGGTTCCCGGAGCCCACAGACATCTACAAACGTAAATGTAGCCACCCATCTTGAAAAATGAGTACTAAGGTCCTAGTTTTTACAGTACAACGGCTACCCCACCCTTTAAAACGAAACGCAATACTGCTTCACGGCAGAAATAAGCAGGGTTCTCCGCCCTTCCCGTGTGGACTCTCAAGACGGCCTACCACCACCAGTAAATACGCAAATTATAATTTTGCGAGTTTGATTTTTATTACACAATGTTATTATTCCTTTATCGTGGAAATCGATCGTGAACATTTGTTAGGTAGTTATGCATATTTTATTAGAAAAATTGGTCGTCCCTGCGGGATTCGAACATCTCTTGATACGAATCCCGGTCGCCCGGTGCATCTCTTGATACGAATGCACCGGGCGTCTTATCCTTTAAGCCACGACGACTTCAATATGGAAGTATATATCGGGAAATTGGCTACCGAGGCTCTTCCCGACATTTTCCTTCAAAAAATGTGGCTGTATGCAACCGACGACGAATTGGATCTGAAATTAAAGTCACACAATAATATAATGTCCAAGTAAAGATGTGTGGCATGTGAAGTGTTTTTCTAGATTCGACAAGGCTGAATTGTTCGAAAACTATTTATTGATCGAAGTTCTAACCGAAAAAATACAACCGTTCGTTCATAAATGCGTACAGAGGTGTTGCAAAAAGCGATTTAACTTTTACATATAGCCAATTAAGAAATTAATGATACAATAAATACTAAAAGAGTATACGTCACAGCATTCGTTATTATCTATGATTCAAACAAAAACGTGCGACGTCTGAGCCCAGAGTATTTACAACGAAAATTCTTGACGAGCACAGTATAATAATAATTGTTGTTTTACTATAACGCGTTTACAATACCGTGAGAATGTTCACCAGTTCTTGTTTTTTTCTTCTTTTTTTTTTTGCTCCCGACAATAAGTTATGAAAGTTGCACTGCACTTGTGAGAATGTTCGGTTCGCATTTATTAGAGAAACCTGGAAACAACCTTGCAATGACCTCTCTGGATTTTATCTTTAACATCAATTTATTTTTTTTAGATGCAATAGTGGCCTAAGCTTACCATAGTTAGTATGGAGATAATGAAGTTTGAATTTACTTTTACGTTGCTTTATAGGCAAAAACAATACGCGCAAAAACAATGATTATAAAGCCATAATAAAATGTAATACATATATGGGTGAAATTAGGGATTAGTATAGGGCTTTGTATCAAAATTTATTATGTTTTAAATAAATTGCAATATATAAGTACGGATATGAATAATTGTGGGTTAAGCCACTTTTGCGCTCACGGCCTTATATTATCTACTTACCTAATGACTAATGCAGAAGTGCATCCTGCGACTATTTAATTTTTGTTGCGACACTTTAAAGGGTGAAGAACAAAATATTAAATTCATTAAAATATCTATGACTAATATGGTAGAGCAATTGTACCTAAATAACTTTTTTTTGTGAAAATGTCTTTATCGTTCACGAATGACTACCACAATAAGCGAATAGCATCGTATAAGTAATAAAAATCAATTTGAAAAAAAATAAATATTAATAGATAGTTTTAATGAATGAATCAATAATATAACTAATGCATAAAATTCACCACCTATTTAGTACAAAAATATACTATGGAAACACTTATGACTAACGATCATAAAAAAATATTTAAATTTATTGTGAATCACCTCGTGCAATTCTACGTAATGGCGGTAATAAGATTTCGTGATCTGACCGTCAATATACGAAGAAATTAACAAAAGAATGCACCGGAAACAAATGTATAACTACAGACATAAGTGTAATTACGTTTGTAACACACACCACTTTCTATACACACTATGTTACGTGAACGAAGATTGGTAGGCATAATTCGTTAGTAAATGCAAGTCATTGAAAAACAATATAGACTCTTCCTGTCCAAACTTGTATACCTTACGTACCTTTAATAAATCAATTAATTGATCTATAGCTTATTGTAAAATGAAGGGAACATAGCCTTCTCGTATTTCAAAAAAGGTAGTAGTAGAAGTAACATAAATATCCTAAAAGTTACCAAAAATATAGTTCTAATATTTGCAACCTATATATTACATTACTAGTTGTCACTCGCGGCTTCGCTCGCGTATTCAAGAAGAAGCGTCAGTATAGTTTTCTGTGTTAAACAGATGTTTGTAGAGAAGGTATGCTACTTTAATAAAGATCATGTCTGCAAGCAGCATATGCTTCATTTTGGCGTGAAAGAAGGACAAACAAACAAACATACTACCAAATTAACAAACAAACACGGTTTCAGATTTATAATATTTATAATCTAGAATATAAAGTACAGATTACTAGGTTACCTTCAACGGCTTAGTCTGCGTGGGCTACATCTTAAATCGCGTGCAGATCTTTACTCAGCAGTGAGATAATATTCTGTAACCTGTATTATTTTCCAGGTGTCAAACTATTTCCTACAAAAATTTCGTCAAAATAAATTCAGTACCTACTTGAAGAGTGAAAATTTTGTAGACAAACACATTTCTTTAAATATTTGCTAACTTTTAAGATCGGCCAGTAAAGGCAAATACCAATCTTTAAATGACAATACGATTTTACACCGTCCGATTTTATTGAAACAAATACCTATTATTCTTAGCTAGTTTCTGTTCATTAATCTTTTTATACCTGTGAAAAAACACATTTAAAGATTTGTTAATTTGTAACAAACAGAAAATCATTGATTTATTAACTTTATGAATTTTAGTTCGTCCTTTTTATTTTGTTATTTTTATGGGCGATGTTTGATTCGTAGTTGATAAATCAATTTAAATAATATGCATGCATCTATTGCTTGTTCTGTGATGGGTATAGGCAAGCTGCATCACGATTGAGATTCGTGAATGCAATTCGAGTACCAGTCCTAACAAATTAAACAGATGCAAAACCCATTTATGTAATGATAATATGGAAGTTTAACACCGTGTTATAAAACTTATTCACGAATTTCTACAAAAATGTAACGTTTACTTTTACAAAATATTCTGAGCATTCACATTATTACCAAATTAACATTTTTTCTTCGGTCTAGTTATTCTGATACACTATCGCCTAATGAGTTCATAACACAACATAATGTTTTACGACATAATTGGAATTACATGCTTAAGTTTTTCAACGACCTTACTCGGTTAATTTGGATATGCATTACCGCGCTAATCAACTACTTTGTTCTCTTATCTTCTGTAATGAACGATGTCGATGAGCGACGCTGAAGATGTGACGATATCACGGGCTACAGTAGACTAATTTATTCAGATATTATGAATGAGAGCTAAAAATGTATTGATAATATAAGTGAATAGCACTACGCATTGAATATTACTGATTTTTAAACTTTAGTAGATAACTCATTCCGTAATTTGAAATAATTTTTTCAGTATTGTAACATCTAATAATCGTCGTCAATGTGTTGCTAACCGCACTTGAATCTAACTACTAAATTACTCGTGTAATATGTCTGAAGTTTTTTTTTTTATTGCTTTGATGGGCGGACGAGCTCACAGCCCATCTAGTGTTAAGTGGTTACTGGAGCCCATAGACATCCACTAAGTAAATGCGCCACCCACCTTGAGACATAAGTTTTAAGGTCTCAATTATAGTTACAACGGCTGCCCCACCTTTCAAACTGAAACGTATTACTGCTTCACGGCAGTAATAGGCAGGGTGGTGATACCTACCCGCGCGGACTCACAAGAGGTCCTATCACCAGTAAAATACCACCAGTATTTGAAACTCTAACACTTTTACAAAAATATAAAATATTTTCTTTCGTTTTAGGATGATGGAGGCTTATGAGCAGTTTGCCTACGAAAGTCTTTCTCCAGAATACGAAGACTGGGCACGGCCTTACCCAAAAACAGTTCCTGATAATTTCCACTTGTCCAGATATGGTCATTTGCGAATTGATTATTCCTGCAGCTGGAATTCACTCGATCGACTGATTCGTAACCAATAGAATGTTATAAAAGATTATGTTTACACACATGACACTTCGTATAGTGAAGAAAGGTGATTTATAAAATATGACTTAAATGGCTCTTTCTTGTTTTCAATATACACATTAAATGTAGCCAAAATATTTTATAAGTGATGTTATAAATTAGGAATTGGTTGTATACTTTTAAATAGCCAAAGATTTCGAATAAAATTTAAATTGATATTCAAATGCTTTAATTTTTATTTTAACGTATTCGCGGGTAATACCTACTTCGCGTTTTAAAGGTAAAACGGTATTCATCGTAATATTAAGTGCTATAAGAGAAATCAAGTTAACTTAAGCACATTGAAACAATGATAGGTATTTATGGTAAGTATATGAGGAGATTGATTTTTATTGTGTTGTTATATAAAATTGTGGTTAGCTTTCAATTTCACATGAAAATTATTATACATTGACGCTTTATTTCTCTTCATTATTCTGTTACTTTCGCTGAGGTGCAAAATTCATAGTTATATAATGTAGAAATATATTAGTGAATTGACAACGTATGGTAATTAACGACTTCGTAATCAGTATTGTCGTAAATTGTAATCGGTAGGCTTGGCTCTGCCCCTGGCATTGCTGAAGTCCACGCGCGACGGTAACCACTCACCATCAAGTAGGCCGTATGCTCGCCTGCCTACAAGGGCAATAAAAAAAGTAAATTAAAAATTAAATAAACTTATTAGATTTTGGTTAGTAAAGTTGTCGGAATTATTTGTCCATAAATAGTTTTTCGCAAGGATTTGAACCGGTTTTTTCACAAAAAAATATCAAAAATTTAGATTAGTACTGAAATTGATTGGTCTCTTTCCCTTTTCTACCTTCCTAACTTTGCTCATTAGTTGTGCCTCTAGTCGTTGCTGATTTCCATGAGCAGCCGTATGCAGTATGCCGGATGTTCGCTGCTTACCACAGTAAAAAAAATACGTTCAGTGGTTTTAAGCTTCTCAAACGCTATCGGTGCCCGCAGCAAATATATGAGACAAGGTGTACTGACACCTCGAACACGAAATATCCTTCATTTGGTATCCGAGATATCATATTCACTTTTACCGAAAATCGAAGAAAAAATCGCGTAATAGAAAAATTGGAATTACCAATTAAGAGTTCATGGTCTTCCCGATTAACGGTTGCTGGAGTTCATGAACATCAGAAAGTAAATGTAGTCACTATTATTGTATAGTATGGCACTGTACCATCAGCCATCCCCTCATAACGTAAAGATATAATTTTACGGGTTTTGGTAGGTTTTCCGTCATCGTGGTAGTCCTTTGGGAAAGTGAGATATAGTTCGTACGGTAATTCATTAGAAAAATTGGTACCGTACCGTACGTTATATACGGTACCTACTGGGGGATTTAATCGCAGACAAGTACCAATTTTTATTATAATTTTAGGCCAAGACGACCTAATGTATACAGACAGTCACAATCGCTTGTGATGTAACTCACTTGAATGCACCACATTTATATTCCTTGTGTACTCATGTAAGATATTATCAGCGTAATTAAAAGGTCTATTTATCATTCAAATTTTCGTTATTTGAAAGAATACAAACTCCATCACGTAATAGAATTGTCTACGTAATCCATTCAAATACTCGGAGATATAATTATTTTTGTATAAAAATTGTCTATGAAGCTCGCTATTGATAAAACCAAGCCATCAGTATCGGTTAGGTATAATAATATATCAAACAGACATGGGATTCGCTTACTTTTCATGTTTTGTTATCGAATCTCCCGTACGTCGTAATCACTTAATTAGGTAGGGAGACCGGGGCAACATGAAGTTCGGGGCAGGACGGGAAATAAGCTTGTGTCCATGAATGGTAATCGTGTTCGGACCGGTAACGGCGCCATTTGCACGAAATTCAGACTGCGCAAGTGCGTCCGAGCAGAGCGAACGTGTTGGATCTCGTTTTTGTGTTGTATAGGAAAAAAACTGATTTTTCAAGTGTTTTTATCCGGTTTTTGGTTAAGAAACTGATGTGCAGACATGTAAGTACTTGAATTAATATAATGTTTTAATCCTCAGCGTGTTGTAGTACTATAACACTTTAAATTCAGATTAGATTTTTGCGCCGGTAAGATTTAAGATTAGAATTGATTCAACTTATTTCAATACATGTGGGTCGGGGCACAATGATCGGGGCATAACGGGATACTATCCCGTTTTGCCCCTTCCGTGTGGTTTAAATAATACCTTCTGTGTACCTACTTACCTATCGATAGTATTGCAACCTCGTTTTGTAAGCGTCCATAGGCTACGGTAACCGCTTTCCATCAGGCGAACTGTAAGCTTCTTTGCCAAGTACATATTGTTGTAACTTCTACATTAGCAAGATATATCGTTGCTTTTCTCATAAAGTTTTTTTCTCAGATACAATGGTTCGGAACTATAAACGAAAAACAGATCGTGGCAAATGGGACTCTGAAGTTCTGGGTCTTATGCGTTCTTAATAACAGGTTGGGGCTTCCTCGAGCCTCAGCTACATATGATGTTCCGCCGTCGTGTAAGAAAAGCTCGTGATACTGTGGATGACGACACTGATTCCGGTAACGACTAAGTATGGGAAAAAGTATTTGTGACGATTCAAAACTGTTTTTACAGCAAACAAGAAGATGAGTTCGCGCAATGTGTGTTATGGAAGCACGGTTAACAGGAAAATAACTTCGTGTAATAAATAGCTTATCAGATGGCTCAGCGAAATCATATAGATAGCCCACTTAATGAAGAAACCGGCATGGCAGGAGAAGATTGGCGTAAAAAACGAATACATAAAGTTGGAAATAAGAAGATAAAAAGAACTGAAAACAAGCGTCAAGCTAAAAGACTCGCCAAAGAAATCGAATCGGAAGATAGTTTATCTTAAGAGGAGGACGGTGACTGGGCCTGCATCTATTGTGGTTACTTATACTAAGAGTCAACCGAGGGTTGGGCTGGCTATCTGCAGTATTTGCCATGGTTGGGCACACGATTCCTGTACCGGAGTAGATGAAGAAGACGAAAAGGCATACATTTGTGAACGCTGTCTACCCGATTAAAATACGTACTCCTTTTGCCCCGTAGTATTTCCCATCTTACCCCATCCATGGGGCAAGACGGGAAATTCGCCTCATTATCGTTAATCATTATTTGTCAAAAAACTTCTATGATTTTCCTTGATAAAATTATTAATTTTAAGAGACAAATGTATAAGTGTTACTTATTTTCTTAAAGAATTTAATTAAAGAGTATAATTGTCTTTGTACAGCGAGTTTTGTCTTAGCTATCTCATCTTGCCCCGGTCTCCCCTACTGCGCTAATATTATAAAATCACAAAGAAATATCGCTTTTTATTCAGATATTTTTGTACACCGAACATGCTAGTTTTCTTGAATAAAACTTTAATGTAATAAAAATTGAGATCTTACATCCCCTTGTCTGGTATCTAAATAATGAAAACAAACGAAAGAAAAACGTTTATTTCACAGAATAATGTTACAAAATACCAAACTACATATCTTGAAAATCCTTTTCACTGTACAGCTTTCTCTTCTTCGTAATATTAAAAGAACCTTTCTTCTCTTTTGCTTTGTTATTATTCTGTCCGTAATACATTACTTGTAATGTATTCGTTCTTGAAGCCTTATTCTGGCTCAATGTCATATTAGACCTTGCATTTTCCAACACTGGATCTAATTCTACCGAATTAGTGTCCGTGTAACGATCTCTATCAACGGAATAAGGACGCTCGACTTGAGTTTCATATTGCGATGGATAAGTACTTTGCGCTAGATATTTTTTAAATTGACTCTGCTTGAGTTTCTCCTCTAGATCTTCGAGGCGCTGCAATTTTATTTTTAATAGTCGTTATGTAATTATGCCGCTTATAATTAGATGGAATTGGGCACGTACGTTTTCGTCAGCACAATTACGATTTTTTTAAATATGATATAATGAAACAATTATGAATTAAGTTTCGTGTCGTAGTTTATATCATAACACAAACTGTGCTAAACAATACCACCTCCATGTTCATATTTTGGAACGATTCCACTACCAGATCTTACGTTCTTATTGTACTGTTTTTAAAACAGCACGCAATGAAGCAAACTTATAAAGCTCATACGCGAAGTCAATTATAGTGTGACTAAGAGGACCGTTCTCCCTATGTGTAGGTATCTTCTTAGATTGCAGGTACACTCATAAGCATTCTTTAAACGATTCACTTATACCTTTTTTAGCAAAGGAATATTTTTCTATAAACACATCGCGGTAAGCATGACATGAAAAAGAATCTGCAAAACACTAAATCAATGAGATGAGATCGACTTTTTTGGGAATTAAGGCGAGGAGAGCTAGACTTGCTCATAGTATTAAGTAGAGCCCATGAATAATGGAAGCAGTCTACCTTTAGGAACAAGGTTGAACTCTCAATTGCTTAGGACCATCATTTTTTCCTCTCGATCTAATCATTGGTAGTCTAGGGGGTTATTCCGACTGTGCGCGGAGTAGTAGGACTCCACGTCGAAAAGTATAACAAAACGGTTGAAGGTTGATTTTTTCGTATGGTCATGTTTATCGCGAAGCAGTTATCCTGATTCCTTAACCTTAACAATACCGAGGCCGTAAGCTAGTCTATTCATCTACAGGACCTATTTTTACTGATCCAACACATCTAGCGTTAACAAACGCTCAAAAACCCGTCGCCGAATCCGTCGCTTGCGACGAAGGGCCCAACGAGTAAATTAACCCATAGACACAGCCTACCTACTGAGTTTCTCGCCGGATCTTCTCAGTGGGTCGCGTTTCCGATCCGGTGGTAGATTCTGCGAAGCACTGCTCTTGCTAGGGCCAGTGTTAGCAACACTTCCGGTTTGAGCCCCGAGAGCTCACCTACACCCTAGGGTACCTAAAGTTGAAATAGCCTCTCAAGGCTCTCAGCATAGGTAGGGAAAAAAAGAATCGCTCAAAGAGTTATGAATACTCAATTGTTGACACTAGTCTATCATTAATAGCATATCAATATAACAGGGCCACATATTAACAAACCCTTCGATAAGCGTCAATGTTGGCATCAGTACGAGCGGCTTGGTGAGCTAATTGCTCCTGCAACTGCGCTATCTGGGCAGCACCACGTTGTATCTTCTCTTCGTATTCTAGCACTACTACGTTTACCTAGAACATTATCAGCGAAAGGAACTGTGAACGGCATCTTTCCTTAAAAAAATCGACATTAAAGTATCCATTTGTATTTTTATCCTTATTCTATTTAGTAGTTTCTCTCACTAACACCAACACAAATATTAAAGCATATCTGTGGGCACAGGCACAAATAACCAATGAACACTAATGGGCCGTGAGGTCATAAACTTAAAAATTGCCTAAGCTGAAGTCATCGTGGTCTAAAGGATAACATGGCTGCTGCATTCGTATCGAGTGAAGTAGCTGTAACGGTGTGGGAGTATAAAGACAAATACCAATTTTTCCAATGAAATACGTACGTGACATATGTTCACGAATGAATTCCACGATGAACGAATAACATCGTTTAATAAAAATCAAATCTGAATTTTTTTATAAGCGTTATACACTGTTGTAGAGCGTTATGTAAGCCCACGTGTGTGGGTACCACTACCCTACCTATTTCTGCCGTAAGCCGGTAATGCGTTTCGGCTTGAAGTGTGGGGTAGCTGTTATACTGTAAAATTTGAGACCATTGTCTCAAGATGAGCGGCGGCATTGACATGGCTGATGTCTATGAGCTCCAGTGATCACTTATAAGCGGGCCAATAGCTCGTGCACCGATCTCAGCAATAAAAACAAAACCTACCTTCTCTCTATGTTCAGCTTCCAAGTCCTTAATTTTAGAACGAAGCTCTTCAATGACGCAAGTGTACTGTGCCACTTTCGCGTCCGATTCATGCTGGATTTCATGTACTATACAAGTTAGAACAGACGAAATGCATTGTTAGAAACTGCATAGCTACATAGTTGATAGCAGAAACTCCAGTGGTTTTTTTAAAGATACGGACATATATATTTTATTTTTTACCTATTCTAGTAACCTCGAGGGGTTATATTAAATTCTTCGGGTGAGGGTATATTTAGTTACGTGATGGCTGGTTTGGCAAACGAAAAGGACAAATACACTAGAACAGGGATTGTTCGTATCGCCACTTAGAATCGAGTAGGGTCAGCAAATTAAAAAAAACGCACTAGACCTGTTTTTGGAGACAAACAACCTTTTTTTATGATTGAAGGATTACTGGTGGACCGGAGGCCTTTCCAGTTTCACCAGGACAGGTGGGTGAGCAAAGGCTCAGCCAGGAGGGGTGGGATTTGCTAACAGCTGCCCGAGGGCCTCCGAAGGAGACCTAACAACTCAAGAGCAGCTGCTTCGCGAATGAATACTAAACAACCTGCTTTTGCAGCGTCAAGATTAGGGCTGTTACCGGCATGAATAACGAAGATCCTCCCGATCGCTGTCGTCGACGCGGCAGGCAACTAAACCTTTGAAGTCAGGCGTCAACTACTTTTATTGATACTGAGGGAGTCTCGTTAAATCAAAATAGAACGGTTGTCTTTGATGACAACACAGGCAGGTATTTGGTGATAATTCTCTTAAATTACTCCGCGAGCTGCCCCATCTTTCGTGAGTCTCATTCCAAATTCTACCAGCCACCTACAGATCAGGGTCTCAGGGATGGAAAAACATTGGCAAGAGATTAATAATAGACGGCAAATGACAAGTATGGCATTCCATTAATTAACAAAAGCTTTTTTTTTATTGTTTTGGTGGGTGGACGAGCTCACGGCCCACCTGATGTTAAGTGGTTACCCGTATAACGTAAATGCCGCTACCCACCTTAAGATATTAGTTCTAAGGTCTCAGTATAGTTAAAACGGCTGCCCCACTCTTCAAACCGAAACGCATTACTGGCATTAATGCTTTACGGCAGAAATTAGCAGGCTGGTGGTATATACACGTACGAACTCGTAGTACGTCCCACCACCATTCGAAAAGTCCTTTTTCTATTCACACTGGGGACATTCATTATAGATGCTTCCCCTAAGTAGGACTGTGCATGGGATAATTGAGGTGGAAAATGTTTCATAAAAATTCGTTTGAATAAGAGATTTTGTAGTTTACATTTATTGTTTTCGGTAACACACTACTTGTTTATTTAGATTTTTAATCATGAACGTAAATTTGGACCACGCAGCCCTTGTGTGGTCCGTTGTCTTGATAATGTCCATAAAGAAGTAAGCGTAAAATAGATTGAGGTAACGAAGTTTTAATTAAAGTATTTCGCTAGCTGATACACAAAAAATACTAAATATAACTAAGAAGTTCATTTAATTATAAAGTAAAATACTGACTTTTATTTTCGTTCAGCGCACGCATTTCCTCCATTTCCTTTTCATAATTGTTACGTAGCTCTTCCAAACTAATTTCATTCTTCATTAATAAATTTTCTTTATCCTAAAGTTTCGCGAATGATCACTAACTATTTGTATTTACGAATAAACTTAATCATTTATTCGTAATTATATCTTCGGATTAAGTAATTAATAATAAAAATAGATTATTGTTGTGAAGGGTAAAAGTAAGAGTGGCGCCAATGTAGCAACTTCTTCAAACATAAACGTAACATTGATTCATAATAGAAACAGGCGGTTGCTGATGCCGACTGATGTGGAAAATTGTCTTCATTGATATCCTTTAATATTATGCCATTTATGGAAAGGTTTATGGAAATAGAGCTTTATTAGACTAAATTGCCGACGAATGTAAATTAAAATGTACTCAAATTTTAAAATATACCTTCTCAAAACTATTAATAGTTTTTTCTCTCAAAAGTATTTCGTCTTTTAATTTTTTTACATCTCTTTTTAAATACACCAATTGAGATACAGTTTCTTGTAAATTTCCTATCATTTCACGCGATGTCAATAAGCGGTAGCGATGTGATTTTTCTAATTCACGAGTTTCTTTCAAATCTACTTCCAATTTTTTATTTATTTCTCGAATTTTCCTGATTTCCTCCCTGTCTTTGTAAAATTCCTATAAGTATACAAATTAAGCATTAGTGAATTTATTCACTATATAAAAACTAAATATATAATTATGAAATTATACCTAGTTATATGAATTCTTACTTACTAGTTTACATTTAGTTAAATTTTGTACAATACTTTCGAAACGATCAAGGTTTATGGTTGACTTATCGCCTAAATTATCAACCATTCCGATATTGGACAGTTTGCAAATTAAATAAAAATTTTATATTTTGAACATTGATGTAGCTGAAAACGATTAAAGATCTTTTAATTATAAGTGCTGAACTTTTTAAGCTGCCGCTAATTTAAGCAATTGCCGCTATTTTATAGACGTATGTATAGTTCTTAAATCAGCCATAGATTAAAGAAAACAAAAATTAGCTAACCTTGAAAACTAACGACTTTCAATTTTTTGGAAGGAGTCTTACTTTACTAATAAAAACGTAATAATTATAATTTACAAATAATAGTGAAAAAAGCACTAGATTTGCGGTAGGTAACGTCTGTCTGAAATATAATCTTAATACCTATATCGCTATTTAATTATTCATGATATTATAGACTTTAGGGTTGCGGGTGAATTCCTCAAATACTTAATTTCTGAGTTCATCCAAATTTAATCATTCACTATCCACAGAAAAGATAATTTTAGTTCAACTTTTCAATTTATGTACTAACGCTGTAAATCAAATACAAATAGAAGTATTTAATATTGTTACACATTATCAGATATTTTAAATTGGTAGCAATAAGCTCCAACTGTGAGATTACCATCGGTAGATTTCTTTCTTGACCCTGACAATAATAGCGCCACAAGAAGTCTACTACTACTTACTAAAAAAGAAGGAAAATTTCAAGAGTCATATATTATGTCAACTAAATTAGAATTTTTTGGCGGGAACGCGAGAAGCGAAGTTGTGTGAATTATTATATTTTGTCTATTNTTAAATTGGTAGCAATAAGCTCCAACTGTGAGATTACCATCGGTAGATTTCTTTCTTGACCCTGACAATAATAGCGCCACAAGAAGTCTACTACTACTTACTAAAAAAGAAGGAAAATTTCAAGAGTCATATATTATGTCAACTAAATTAGAATTTTTTGGCGGGAACGCGAGAAGCGAAGTTGTGTGAATTATTATATTTTGTCTATTTAGTGTTTCTTCAGGCTTGAATATGTAATAACCGTGGTTTATAAGCTGTTTAGTATCTGTGAAAGTATACATATGTGGGAAAATTGAACAAAGCCGCTGAAAGTAGCTTCTCAGGAGCTTCTAAAAAGTCCACTGAAAAGTCTCAATAAATAACCACCATTTTACTGAGATTATATTTCATGCCATATCATCTCATCTCATTTCATTTAGTTTGATGTCAACTGATGAATGTTCTATATTAATCAAATCCACACACTTCCCATTTCACTCCATATAATTTTTCAAAAAAATTATATACAAAAGATTAGTGTGCATGGTATGATATCTTTGTCTTTTCAGTTGTAAAAATAGAGCTACTCTCAACTAAGTCACTGTCAAATGCCGGATGCCAGTTATTCAGTTATCTATGGTTAGACCATACAAATGTGCATGTGATTTTTATTTGAATTATTATGAACTTTTAGTATTGTTAATAGTACAATTATCTATTTAAAATATGGCATCAGCTTACGGAATACATTTGGGTAACAGTACAGCATGCTTAGCATCGTTTACGAACGGCACAATATCTGTGATAGCCAATGACGCCGGCGATCGTGTCACCCCCGCAATAATTGCTCTAAATGGTACAGAATGGGAAATTGGCCTTCCAGCAAAGTCCGGACAAGCGTCATCGAAGTCAATTATTAAGCACAATAAACGACTAATGAACTGTGATTTCAATGAAGATGATTTGTCATATGTTGAGTTATCATCATCGTGCCAAATTCAGAACGACGAAAAACTTGTATATGAATTCCAAACAAGCGAAACAAAATTATACTCTAGTCCTGATAACATCGCCACTAAAATTTATGCTAAGCTATTTACGATTGCTAGTCATTCTGTGAAGAATGAGGGTGATCTCAAATTGGTGCTTGCTGCCCCACTACATTGGTCAAATGAAAGCAGAGAACGCTTAGTAAAATGCGCAGAACTGGCGGGATTCGAAGTACTTCAAGTGATTAGTGAACCAGCTGCTGCTTTATTAGCCTATAACATTGAAGAAAATCTAGAAGATGTGAATGTACTTATTTATCGACTTGGTGGATCATCTTGTGATGTATCTATTGCCAAAGTATCAGCTGGTTTTGTTAGTGTTGAAAAAAATATTTTTCGTTCGGATTTAGGCGGACAGTACTTGACAAAAGATCTTGCTGATTTTATTGCACAAGAATTTAAACAGAAGTGGAAGTTAGACCCTCAGGAAAGCAAAAGAGCAATGGCCAAACTTTTAAACCATGCTGATAACTGTAAAAACGTTTTATCTACTTTAAATTCAGCTCATGTATTTATTGAGTCATTGCTTGATGGTGTTGACTGGAGCCAAAATGTGTCTCGGGCTAGATTTGAGAATATAATATCATCAAAAATAGCTTCCTATGTAGAGCCTGCCGAGAAGCTAATACAAAGTTTTGATGGTAAAATTAGCAAAATTGTGTTATGTGGAGGGAGTATGAAGATACCTAAATTACAGTCTACCATTGCAAATTTGCTTCCTGATGCTGAAGTTCTGTCGGGTATAAACCCAGATGAGGTAATAGCTATTGGTTGTGCTAAAGAGGCAGGGTTGTTATTAGATGTTCCAGAATTTTCTATGAACGATTTAAATACAGAAGTTGAATTCTTAGGCAAAGATGTGTATATGAAATATTTAGATCAAACAGTCCACCTGTTTAAGGAAGGTACACCTCCATTTGCACAATTTGTTCAAAGTGTGGAAGCAGAGCAAGAAATAAAAGATATTGATTTCACCTTACACACATCACCTGAAAGTGAGGCTTATGCTACAGAATCATTCAATATTGAGAATCTTAAAAAACCTTTTTCATTAAAAGCAACATTACAACAATCAAGTATAAAATTGGAAGTTGAATAATGGAAAGAATAAATTTTATAATTTTGTCCTATTGTTTCATTTTAATATAATAATAACCGGGAACAAGNAAAAGATATTGATTTCACCTTACACACATCACCTGAAAGTGAGGCTTATGCTACAGAATCATTCAATATTGAGAATCTTAAAAAACCTTTTTCATTAAAAGCAACATTACAACAATCAAGTATAAAATTGGAAGTTGAATAATGGAAAGAATAAATTTTATAATTTTGTCCTATTGTTTCATTTTAATATAATAATAACCGGGAACAAGTCACACACACACACGGTCTCAAACTAGGGTCCCCTGTACTATGGAAACTAAAGACTAATATAAACACTTGTACATGTTTAAATATACATATATGCATTTATAGATTTTAAACACCCAGCGAGCAAACAAATTATTCAACAAAGTAGTATTTGTCTGATGTGAGAATAAAACACACAATCTCAGTCCAGCAGTCAGGGTTGCTACTGAACTACTTAGTCATGTATGTAACTATAATGGACAAAATTTCACTTATAGCAACCCTAACGCCTGCCGCGTCGGCAGCCGCGTCTGATCGCGCGCCGCGACCAATCAGGGGTTCTCGTTGTCGGCTCCGGCGCGATTCAAAGAGTAGCGACCGAGTGGCTTTCCTTTTGGCAAGCCGCGCGTACGCCTTTACTGGCGTCGACAGTTCACCCGCAACCACCGAAGCATACACACGAGAATACGTCCGCACCTCGCTCGCTACCATTCCTTTTCGAACTTGTTTGTGGGACCCTCTGGAGTATTCATACCCAGTGCTCCAGCTGGACAACACAAAACACTTCATTTAAATTTCAGTTGTGAAAATGCATACATACTTGCACTATTACTATGGTTTGTTTACAAATAGGTAAGTACTGCTATCCTGCCTATTTCGCTTCGAACTTGCGACTTCTAGTAAGAACAGTGAGAAAGCAATTAAATAGAACAATTAATATTTCGATTTGATCTATTGAGGGTAACCAACTATCCCATATGATGTTTCTGAGTTCCAGTAAGTACTTTAAAGAAGGTGAACTGAACTTGTTTGTCCATCTACAGCAGTGGTTCCAAAACTTATTTTGTCTACTGCCCACTTTGAGAATAAATTTTTTTTAGCGCCCCCCTTTTTTCTACCTACTTAGAACCACTATAGCAAGAGCTCAGTCGGTATCTAAGACTCCTCCTAGATGAAATTACAAATCGCCTTCCAAGCCTCTACACAATGCCCCTATTTTTTTCTGGGTCTATTACCGCCCCCCATTAAGCCTGCACCACCCACAAGGGGGCTTTATTGCCCAATTTGGGAAAGGCTGATCTACAGCAATACAATATAATATGCCTCAAATTATCATTTCGTTGCCATCGCTTTACTATGATTGGTGATAATATTAGAATAATATCAAATGAGAGAGCTTCTGCAGGGAATTTTACCTCTTATTGTTAATGGTGATACGAGTGGATATTTTTTGATATTCTCCCGAGGTATATTGAGGATCACCAATGTATCAACCACCAACATTAACGGTCCTATCACTGTTGATTACCTCTTACCGATTACCTGTTTACCATCTGTAAAAGTGCACATATGTGGGAAAATGAAACAATGCCGCTGGACGCAGCTTTTCAGATGCTTCCAAAAGTCTCAGTAAATAACCACCATTTTACTGAGATTTTATTTTATCCCATTTTATTTAGTTTCATTTAATATTATCTCAATTGCTCAGAGCTATACAATAATCATCTTCGTTTCATTTTTTATATTTTCTCAGAATATGCCTTAAAAGTCTCATTACCAGATTATCAAAAAAAAAACAACCAAATGTCAGAATTGTCACGATTACTCACGATTGTCGAACTTCCCAAATATTCCCAATCACAATCGCAGATTTTTGAAAATTTTAGTCCGGCTTCAAATGCTTCAATTTATTATCCTAAATAATACACTCAATATTTGTGATTCATTATGATAACAAATAGTAATTAAGTAGGCGGGCATATTATTAGATTACTTGATAAATTCTTGTAAAAACAAATTAGGGAAGATAATTAATTATAACTTGCTTAACTATGAAGTTATGTTTGTTCATTTTAGTATCATTTGCATTGTACTGCTCATCTGAATCTAGCAATATTCAAAATCATTTAGGGTCACGTACCCCTTACCGACTTAAAGGAAACAAAAATGATTCTCAAATTAAATATCCAAGTAAGTGTGTACTAAATATTTCATACTAAAAAGGAAACGATAGATTAGACTTTCAGATTAACAGATGAGTGAAGGATGAGCGTGCTAAAATTTATGTGGGTGTTGTAGGTTCTAAGAAGTATTTAAAAATATATGTATCTAAATAAATTAGAGTTATTTGTTATCAAAAATCAGTTGTTATAAAAAATTATTTAAAACCATATTATAATCAAAGATTTTCAGTTATTCGATAAGTCAATGCGCCATGACCGCTGCCTTCTCGGAGCCAGTCATGTCCTTATCCATCCACACGATCTCTTAACACTGTCGTTAGAAGCCTCTAACACTAGGAGCAGTATAGGGAACCTAGTAACCATACTCATAAAATTTTTCAAAAAGTTCAATATGAAATCCAACCAATAGATCAGCCTTTTTGAATTTCTTGCTGGATCTCTTTAGTGGGTCATGATTCAAATCTGCTAGTAGAGTCTCATTTGTGACACAGTTCCCCTTGAGCTGTTAGTCTCCTTTGAAGGTGCTTGAGCAGCTCTTAGAAAATTCCACCCTTCCTGGCCGAGCTGGTGCTCGCCCACTCGTTTATCTCAACCTAGAAAGGCGTAAGAGCCACAAGTAATCCTCCATTCCTAAAAAAAAATTTTCTAAGTTCATAATTTTAGGGATATGTAATCGGGAACATTATGAGCCTATATGAGTTTGTTCAACTATTCTGCCCATTTCCTTAGTGAAGCAGTCATGTATTCTATTTTGAAAAATTGGATAACTAAGTCTCAGTTTGCTTTACGTTTAAAGGTGAGTGGTGACATTTACAATGTGATGTGTATCCACTGCAGTAATCATATAATACCAAGTAGACCAAGTGCTTGCCGGAAAAGTTATATGACAATAAACTTGGCATCTGAGTAATGTTATGACTTGAAATTTTTTATTTAATATTATTGTTCATAATTTCAGATTGTAAGGACTCAAAAATATGGATGGTAATAAGACATGGAACAAGATATCCTAATGCTAAGGATATAACAAAAATAAATACACGATTAAAAGAGTTGAAGCTGGAGATATTACTGAGGCATAGGCTTGGCAAAGGTTTTATCATTTTTTAAAGTGACTTAACTAATCATTATTAACAGGCAGAAGCAAATATATAACTTTTATAACAGTATAAAATTTAGCAAATAAATATATTAATATTAATGTATATGTATATTATATATGTTATCATTTGCCAAGACTTGTGAGAAACATTCTGAGTATGCGTTCATGTATATTACTAGTATCATTTTTTTGCTTTGCTACAGAGATAATTGTGAGTCACAAATTATACCATTAAAAAAAAGCCTCAATATTAAAAATCTAGTAGAAGAATAAATAGATTGTATCATAAACTATCTTAAAAAGTTTCAAATACCCCTAACTATTAGTAAAAAATAAATAGTTATTAAAAATCAACTTTGAATGATTACACTTTTTTGACTTTTTCGTGAATTATTTTATAGGTGAGCTATCCGATGAACAAATAAAAAAAATCGAAAATTGGACATGGGACTTGGATTTGGAAAAAGAAAAATTCCTAACATTAGAGGGACAAGATGAAATGATAATTTTAGCAGAAAGAACACGAAAACGATTTCCGGGAGCTGTTAAAGAAAAATATAACAATCAGACAATCCTGGTAAACAAATTTTATAATTAAATATTATTAAACTTATTAAGTATGTAATAAAAGATAGTAATTTACCATTTTATTGAAATACTGTACTATAGGGTGCAGCTTACATTCCTGGTGGGTGTCAGTACCTATGTGAAAGATTTGATATTCGTGGTGTGAGCGGACTTGCTATTGTTATACATTTTTGATATTCACAACTCAGTAAAATCTTAGGTTTGGATGAAAGTGGAATGGGTCAGTTTTTTATTGCCACTGAAATTAAATAAGCTTACTAGACTTTGAATTCCTGACATTACTGCCATAGAGTAGTCGTGTATTTAAATTTTATTAAACTTGTTTTTAGTCATGGGATTTAGCAATCACCTGAAGACCAGATATTAAAAAATACATTTAAATAGTAAATGTGTATGTAATATTTCGTCTCCGCTTATAGTTTCGCTACACGGCAACACAAAGAGCACAACAAAGCGCAAGATATTTTGCAAATGGGCTCTTTGACAAGAAGGAGGCCCAAGATGTATTATTCTCTCCGGCGGCCAAAGTTGACACAGTTTTAAGGGTAAATTTTACATAAGCTTAGTATTAAACTGTAAATAAATTACACGGGTCATCACCAAATTTAACTTTGAAGCATAAAATTTCGATATTTTATATTGTAATTAGACGGAAAAAAAATGCATGGCATGAAGCAGTTTGCTTTTAAAATTTAATAAATTGACCACTTATGAAACGAAATGCATCAGCATCGTATTTACACTTTCGTGACATTTTAAGTTTTTATGGGGTTGTACAAAACACCTGATCGTTGCTTATAACTCGAGTGCCATCTAGTGGCACTGTGTAAACGTAAACACCCCACTCTCGTAGCGCGGTTTTTTTTAAATTATTCAAAAAGCAAACTTTATTTTTTAAAGGCATTTTATTTTCGTTTTTGTGAATAATTAACTGGAAAAACCTAGTATAAACGTTAGGACAAAGAACGAATATTTTTTTTGTAGAGTTGTGATTATATTTAAAATTAGCTTGTTTATATTATGGATTTGTAAGTGTTCCATATTGATGTCATGGTATTAAAACAATAGTTGATTTTGTTCTGGGCAAAGGTTAAATATTTTCTTTGTCATATACCATCAGCCTATAGTATATATAACTATTCCATAAAATTTACAACAGAAAATTGTCATTATTTCAGTTTTACAAACACTGTGACAAGTGGCAAAAGCAAGTAAAAAAGAATCCATTAACATACACGGAACAAAAACTCTATGGAATTAGCAAAGAAATGAATGACACAATTAAATCGGTCACGAAAAGGCTTGGTCTAAAAAATTTACTGAGCTTGGGTTCGTAAATATGCTCTTATGTAGCATACCTTGCTTTGCTATTTGTTATTTTGAGTATATTAACACATAACTCACTCATTGATTTGAATGATGGAGTCATTGCAGAAAGTGAAAACATAATATTTGTGATAAAAAAAATGAAATACGATTTTATACCGCTTTTTTGCACGAAACGCAATGTAACACAATTAAACAGTGCCCGAAGCGCGGGGTCGATGACCTCGGGCGACAAAGATGTTCACAAAATATAAACTGAATTAAACCAGTTTCGTATTTATGAATGCATCTGAATATTGTTTTCCTTTTTAGTTGAGTCTGTAAATTATTCCAAATTTTCGACTTCGAGAAAGAACACCCTACACCCGTATTATTAAAAATTAACAACGCAACCTAATTGTCTACAAGCTAGTTGCTGTTTTATGTATCCAATAGTGATGACCAAACATTATAATTAACGATTTCTGTGTGTTTCAGATGACGTGAACTTAATGTACAAAGCTTGCGGCTTTGAAACATCATGGAATAAACATTTCACATCGCCCTGGTGTTACCCTTTTGATGTCAGAAGTGTTCAGGTTCGTCAGTGAAAGTAATTTATTAGCTTCGGCTGTATGTGTGATGTAACGGAATTCTTGAACATTAATTTCATAACATCGGATCTCGTTGAAGCAATAGAAGTGGCAGCGGACCGTATTATCAACAACGATGCTCGGGTTTCTAAATCTTGAGGTCGGAAACTCTAGCTATAGAGGCTTCTGTCTTATGACTTATTGATTACCTATTCCAATTTGGTTCAGTGCCACGTTCCCGTCTTTCGTCCAATTTGATTGTTATTAGAGTATCGTTAAGCCCTCATGAGATATTACCTATTTCTGCATCATTCTCAAGTCCCGTCTGAAGGTCAAGGTCTAGGCTGTCCACGTCCTAGACGATTAAGAGATTCGTAGGAGATTGGGCAGATTCGTTCTGTGTAATTTACCAGCCCACTGCGATCGAATTTACCCGTGATAGGGAGTAAGTAGTATTATGTGCCCGCATGCGGAGGTACTACCGTCCTGCCCATTATCGAAAAGCCGTCATGTGTTTCAGATACATGACATTCAGGCAAACATTCGTGTGATGAACAGATTTTTTTGCTGTGTATGTATTTATATGTATGTATACCAGTATCTAGTTGCCATAGTGTCGGGAATCCTAGTTTGGGGTTAGATGAACGCTTGTGACTTTTTCGCGTTTTTTATTATAGCTTAAGGGAGAGCCGTTTTGAGACTTCCAACTCAGGTCTCAAGCTGAGCGACGGCATTTACGTAGTGATGTATATGGACTTCGGTTTGTTTTAAAACTAAGGATAACCTCGATTCATGAAATCATTAGTCACCCGTTCGACTAGGATCGTACTACTCAACAAATTCCTCGTAAAAGCACTTAGGATTGTTTTTAAATATGTGTTACGTATTTGATTCTTTTTTCGTATTCTTCTTATTCTGGGAATATAGTGCAGTGGTTTCCCGTAGCCTTCTGCACCAACATTTTTAGGGGGGGATTTTAGCCACCAAGGCCGTTGTAGCCTCATTACGGAGAACAGCTGTCAAAGCTTTAATAAACAAGGTTTTCACATGACCACGACTGCTCTGCCATCCTGCCTAACCGACTATGATGATTAGATCCTTTATATAATATTTGGGTCAAGTATTGTTTGTGCTGACAAAACTCACGTATAGTACTCACGTATACACGGATAGGACAAGAATTAATGCACATCGACCTCTAGAAAGAGACATGCGGCTAATTTCGGCTTTGTCCCTTTCGCACGAAATTCTAACATTCCGGTATCTAGGTATTAAGAGCTGTTAAAACACTTATTTTTTTACTTACTATTTAGTTACTATTTTTTTTTTATAAAACGTTTTTTTTTTCTCTATAAGTGTTGTCTTTAGATTATAGTAAAATAAAATAAGAACAGATATGTTTACGTACTTAATGATTTATTTATTTTGAAAAGTGATATATTCTGACAAAACAATTATAAATTCTCAATTCCTTCCGATTCCCTATCAGTGTTCTCAATGAAGTCAATATCATTGTCGCTCGTCGTCGTATTTATTAACAGTCTATTAGTGTAATTATCTAGACCGTGCTGAAATCTTCGAAATTATATTTGTATACTAAGTAATATAAAAAATATTTAATTCTATCTTCAATGAATATAGGTATTCTATATTTTTATGAAATCACCTGGACGACGCTGGGTATAGTATCTGCTAATTAATACGATAGCGTGTTCGTGATTTAACGTGATCAAAGCCACTCTAAATACCGGGAAAATGCAACATTTTGCAAAACATAAATGTGTTTATTTTTTGTTTCAGACAATGGAATATTATCAGGATTTGAAATATTATTGGATGGACGGATACGGTCACGATTTGACTTACCGCCAGGCTTGCGTCTCCATCAAGAATATGTTTGAGAATTTTAGGTGAGTATTCAGTGGACTTGTGAATTGGTGCGGCTCCTATAGTGAAACAGTTTCAAGAAAACGTTACAATACAGTTGATATTTTGATTTCACGTGATGTCCGCGGTCAACGGTGATCAGTCTCCACATGTAGCGTTCTCTATGCTACAGAACCCAGATTACAATCAGCATTTTTCAGAACGATACTTAGAAAGCTCTAAAATGTCAGATCACACTATATATTCTGTATGTAGGAACGGAACGGTATGAACGGATGACAGATATGGAGCATGACTGAGTGAGAGAGATAGGAGATGTCGTGTTAAGAAGTAAGAAAGACGGCGAATGAATGCGGAACGCATAGGTTTATTTTTTAAGTGAGAGGGGGTAGTTACCGTACGCGACGGCAGACAGACGCGGTGTAACTCTGAAGACGTAAGACGTATAAATTTTAGTTACATAGATGAAGAAAGACGTAATAAAAATCAAGTTGTGTGAAGTCATCAACCGTTTCACTCGCCCAACCTGAATAGAAAACCCCACATGTAGGTATATACATGTGTCGCAGAATAGGCCAATATCTTCATTTTTTATTTGACATTTTCGCGTATAGTGGGTAATCTTGCAAAGAGATTACACAGCACGAAATGATGACAGTTCCGAGACGTCTTCACTTTTACTTAATAGTAGTTTTATTTTTTCAATTAGAAAGGCAAAGGTATTATACCATACAGCCTAATCTTTTATATATATTCAGACTTTTTGGAGGATCCTTCCTAAGTCAGGTAACTTAAATATTAAGTGTATTATCTATGCAAGCAACGAATTTTGTTTCGATTCCAATCGAGCGATGACACTTCGACTCTGCCGAAGTGAGCCGATGTTGTGACTCGCATGCACTAGGTGGCACGCTTTTGCTTCGTTTGTCGTGTCCGGATGCGACATAGTAATATGTATATGTCGGACTATTAATAGCATCGTCAGACATCATAGGGGTGCATAGGACAGAGTTAAAGGAAATATGTTTTGTTGTCTTAGAACAATTTAGAAATCTTGACATTAGCAAACGAAAACGACTGACAGTTCTTTGAACGGAGGCACCGCTCTTAAAGAAGGCTGGTTGATCAGTGTAAAATCTATCGTCTATGCGCGCCTCCATCGTTTAGGGTCTGTCGTAGCACGAAGTTAGCCGAGTTCCGACGACATCGCGATCGTGATGTCACCTCTCGGAAATCGTGCCGCGTTTCGTTTTGCTGCCAAACTAATGACGGTCTCCGACACATATTTAACAAACGCAACAACAAGTCATTATATTATTTCTGACGCAGTAGTTGTACAGGGTGTCCCAGAACTCAACGTCAATTTTGAAAATTTCAGATTCATAGTTTAACAAATAGTCTTAATTCTAGAAAACCTCGGGGCAGTTGTGTCATTATTTTTGACTGTGGTTCTAGAAATGTTAGTTAGGGTTACGGTTTTAAAGTTTAAATGAACAAAAATAATAAAAATTAACCACAATATCCGTAAAATGGTTACAGTTTGACCAAATTTCTAGGTTTTTCTTAAATGCCCTTAATTTCCAAACTGCATGGGATAGATTTTTTTCTGATTTTTTTCATCATGGTTACAATCAATCCTGTAACCCCGTTTCGGCTTGACGTTGAGTTCTGTGACACCCTGTATATGATAATTAAAACTACTTTTATGGCTTAATACGGTAGTTTTTGTGGTAATTAAATTTTTATAGTATTCGGAACGTGGAAATAATATAATGACTTGTTGTTGTTGTTCTTCTTCTTCTGATTTATAAGTAAGACAGCCTACTATCTCTTACTTGCACTTTTCGATGAAGATCATCCTGACGCTCAAAAAATTCTAAATAGATCTAACCATTTGTTATTGGTATTGCCATTTATAATTTTTTTCTAATTAATTCAAAATGACATTAAAAATACAATTTTACAGTTCAAAAGGAGGTCCCAGCGCTTCATTCCTGTTCACACATTCCGGAACGATATTAAAAATATTAACGCATTTGGAACTTTTCAAGCCACGGTCGCACTTGAGAGGCGACAAAAACGTACCGGACAGAACTTGGAGGGCTTCGGACATTGATTGCTTTGGAGCTAATCTAGCGCTGGTTTTGTACAGGTCTGTGCTAACACTTAAGTAACACGGAAGCATCTAGAGTGAAGCTGATACGGCTCATAGAAATTTAAACAGCTGTCTTATAGGTCCAAGTCTAAACTGTCCGTAGCGGTTGTTTTAAAAAATTACAAATGGTTTAAGCATGTATAGAAAAAAAAATATTTGCTGAGAGTTCGACAAGCGAACTAACCCATAGACACAGCCCAATGAGTTTCTCGCCGGATCTTCTTAGTGGGTCGCGATTCCGATCCGGTGGTAGATTCGGCGAAGCACTGCTCTTGCTAGGACTAGTGTTAGCAAATTCTCTCAGGTTGAGCCCGTGAACTCACGGCGTAGCTGGAATTAGGCTTCCAGATAATAATTACGGAAAAAAAAACATAGAAATAAGTAGGCTGGTGTTATATATCCTTACGGGCTTCGAGACGCCCTACAAGCAGTCTCTTTTAAGGTTTTTTTTTAAAATGCCTTTAGCAGTTACTGTATGGAACGTAATACTGCAATACAGGCGACGACTATCTCTGATAGACTTTGTTTCTTTGAAAATCGTAGGTAATAATTTCTGAACTTTATCTTAATTTTATTAAACTCTAAACTTGTGACTCTATGGAGCTGCAAGTATTGAAATTAAATCTCTTTTCAGATGTAAAGGTGTAGACTACGTGCTTGCGTTGCATCAAGAGCGCGTCGTCAAACTGCCGATGTGCGAAAAAGAGCTTTGTCCATTAAAAACGCTAAAGGAATATTTTCATAAATCGATTTACGAATGCGATTACACCGACATGTGCAGTTTGAAGAAGGACGATCTATAGACCGTGACGAAAAGGAAAATGCTTTAAAAAAAACAACGCAACTGCTTAATCAAATCTCAAAAATATTAAAACGTTGAATGAATTGGAGAAGTCGAAGGAACCAATAAAAATTTTCAAGACCTGTATTTTGTTTGATTATTTTAAAAAAAATTGTAAGGCTGTAAAAATCATTTTTAAATCATTTTTGTTACAATTAAAAACTATTAAACCAAATTTTAAGATATTCGGTAAACTGAAAGGGGAGAAAATTATCTCGTACTGATTGCCTATTGCCTATTGATCGATAGATTTGAATTGTAAGCCTTTTGTATGTGAACAGTATTTTGAATTCAAAGAAAATGCTTAAGATGAAATTAAGTTATTTTAGTATTTAAATGAACGAGTTGAGATACATTAGTTAACTATTTTGAGAAAATTATTATTTACAAGTTAGCTGTACAGGCTTACTAATTATAACTAGGAATAGTAAAATGAGATTCCTCAGTGCTTTAGTTTACGTTGTTACTTAAAAAATAAAAATTAACCACATTAATCTGTCAGTTTTTTTCACACCTTTATTTAATTTAAATAATTGTGGGTTTTTGCGATAAAATTTCTATGAAAAGGTTGGTATAATAAATTAGTTTTATTAATACACTTTATGTAATGTGAAAGTCGGCCAAAAAACGATAGAAAATCTCACTTTAATCAAGGAGAACGAACCATCTCAGTGTGTTAAGAAGTGTCTGCTGAAAGAGAGCCAATTAAGGTCGCGCCATAGTAGCAAGTGAAGATTTTAAAAACAGCGCAATAAACTACCTCACTTCAATCCAGCCCACTTCACTCTGTTTAAAACTGCTATATTCATATCCTTTCCACTTCGAACACTAGCGCTATTTTGGTGAGACTTCCAACAATGCTGTTTACGGGTAGACACTATTTCAACTTGTCCCGTATACAAGATGATGCTACTTACCTTTACCCGCCAGTCACCGTCACCGATACGTCCTTACGGATCCATCAGATCCAATTTCCCTTGCATTAGACACCTTTAGTTGTAATACTAGGAGTAGGGACCCCGGTAATCGTACTCGTCGAACTCGGCAGAGTTCAACGTGCAACCTAGCCTAAACATTAGCCCGCTGAATTTCTCGGATCTTCTCAGCGAGTCACGATTCCGGTCCGGTGTAGATTCATTCGCGAAACAGCTACTCTTGAGTCGTTAGGTCTCCTTTGGAGGCGCTTTGGTAGCTGTTAGCAAATACCACCTCTCCTGGCTGAGCCTTTGCTCGCCCACCTGCCCTGGTAAAACTGGAAAGGCCTCCGGGCCACCAGTAACTTCTGAAACAAACAAAAAAACCTTTACCCCCATACTTGGAAGATACGATTTTTTACTGTCATTCTATTATTTCCAAATTTTCCAATAGTTCACAGTTTTCGTGGTCACTGACGATTACCAAAAACCAAAGGAAATTCTAGGAAAGTGATCATAGCGCAACTGGACTGATTGTGTTTGACACAGAAATAGACGAGGGTCGATTCGCGATGTAGCTGTCGGATCGTTTATATCGCCAATTTACTGCAGACCTGTTATTAATCAGTACGAAACAACAATGATAATCACTATTGACGTTATTGCGCAGAATTGTATATCCTATCTAAAGGCTTCGTCAAACAGAACGCGTAATTAGCGCGAGATGTGTTGTACTACTATGGTAACATACCGTAACGTAACACATCTCGGCGTCATAGCGCGGCGTTAGTTTAGCGCTCTGACGCGCGCTAAGTACGCGTTCCGTTTGACGAAGCCTTTAAGGGCCTATTTGACGTACGTAAAACTTGCACTTAGAAAAAACGACAATAATTATGAGTGAATGCTGAACAAACTTAGAGCGAAAGTTCGTAACAGCTTTCGTTCTATATTAATTCAGATCAAGTTTTGATTAAGTTAGCTGCAAACTTGAATGAAACTTATAACGATGCAATTGATTCTTGTGTTAGCTCGGCAGTAGCTTAAGGAACATCTTGAGTTTACTGAATTTCATCTTAAAGCTATTTTTCATTAGTGTCTCGTTTTAGTGACCTCAATACCTATTTACTACCAACATGCTACCGATACTAATCTAGGTGCATAGACCTGTTTAACACGTAAAGTAAAGAATATGAATTATCAAATTTTTCCCAAAAGCTTTATTAAGAAAATGCTTATTACATTTTCCTATCCCATCAGCCGATGCTAAGGTCTGGTAGACGTACTCAAGATTGAATCTATGGATGTGGCATTTTGATGTCGACAAATTACAGCCAAACATCCTTAACCCTTGTATCTCCTACCTAACTCAGTAGCCTCGTTGTCATATTCTGGCTTCACTGTAGTGGCTTCATTCGGCCGGAGAGAGGGTTTGAGAAGATCCTACGAGAAACTTTGTGTCTGTGAGTTAAACATTAACCCAAGCTACTTTATACATGTTCGATTTTAAAAACTAAACTTGAAACTTGTAGTTAACGAAGTTAAATTTTGAAGTAAAAAAGATCGTTTGTAATTTTTTCTTGAATGTGAATTAAACTATTGATCAATTTTATATCGTACTGCTAAAATTTGCAAAAACGTAACTTGGTGTGAGAAATAGAGAGAATAATAATAATAATAATAATATTAGCTGACCCGGCAGACTTCGTAGTGCCTCAATCGATAAATAAAAGACCTAAGCTTTTCATCACATGGACACATGAAAGGAAAAACAAAATTGTTATTTTTATTTAATTCCACCAATTTCATATTTGTCTCCCTTTTAAGCCTTCTCTGGACTTCCACAAATAATTCAAGACTAAAATTACCCAAATCGGTCCAGCCGTTCTAGAGTTTTAGCGAGACTAACGAACAGAAATTCCTTTATATATATATAGATTATACAATATCACACATTGTCATAATTGTTGGTATTTCTTTTTTTTAGTAAAATAGCAAAGGTATCAGGATTGCGAGCAATGCGGTCAACAGACGACACTCACACTGAGACGAACATTGAAATAGAAGAGTAGGTATTTACCAAACTTTTTGATTTTTTGATTTATCATCCAGTTCAGGAAAAATGAAATACGTCAGCAATGCCAGGGGCAAAGCCAAGCCGCTGCCTACCGTTTAATACTCTCCACAAGCCTCGTTTGAGGAGGACATGTCATAGCGCTCGGGAAACACCGTGGAGGGGAGCTCATTCCATAGCCGGATGGTACGTGGCAAAAAAGATCTCTGAAAACGCACTGTGGATGAACGTAGTGGCTCCAGGTAGAATGGATGAACTCTACTCCGGTGGCGGGCGGTGCGATGGTAATAGCGAGATGTCGGTATCATCTCGAACAATTCCTCAGAGCACTCCCCATGGAACATACGGTACAGAATACAGAGGGAACCGAAGTCCCTCCGCAGACTCAGAGGTTCCAAGCGATCCGGAAGTACCTCGGCCTTATTCTGGACAGTCGTTGGATAGATACCAACATTCTGCCTATATTTGCTATGAAGTACACATTCTTTTCGAGTTAAAGCGCGCGACAGCCGGCATACAATACTATCAAGTGTACCTACTAGCTTCTAGCTCATGCCTCAATTTGACTGACAACGTTCACGCTGTCTATGTTGAGTCTATCTATGATCATCGCCTGACACAGAGTGGTCTATGAGTGCTGATCACTCAAACTAAATATTAACCTCGTCACCATCATAAAAATTACATACGATCTTGAAATTAATAATTTGATGCTCTTAGTAAAACAACATCCGTACACATTCGAATTGGCTACAACATTAACGATACGAAGAATCGCTTGTATGACTGATTTATACGAGGCAGTCATAACATTATAAGTATTCGGGTCAGGAGCATGTAAAATTTGTTTGTAAAACGGGTTCATAAAGCTTGAGAATGATGCACGTCGGTTAATGGCTCGTTAAAGTTGCAGAGCGATATTGAGTTATAATTTCATTTTGCACGGTCTATTTTTAGTCGACTTTAGTTTCGTTTTTACAAAGCCGGTTTACGTAAGTTAAAAACTACTAACAGTGTCATGAGAAATGTTTTATTAAAATAAAAATAAAAATAAAAACTGTTTTTTTTTATTGCTTGGATGGTTGGACGAGCACATGGCCCAGTTGGTGTGAAGCGATTACCGGAGCCCGTAGACATTAGCAACGGAATTGCCGTCACCAACCCTAAGCATCAGTTTTATAGTACAACAACTGCCCCACCCTTACTGCTTCACGGCAGAAATAGGCAGGGTGGTTGGTACCTACCCGTGCGGACTCACAATTCCTACCACCAGTAATTACGCAAATTATAATTTTGCGGATTTGATTTTTATTACACGATGTTATTCTTTTACCGTGGAAGTCAATCGTGAACATTTGTTAAGTACGTATCTCATTAAAAAAATTGGTACCCGCCAGCGGGATTCGAACACCGGTGCATCGCTAGATACGAATGCATCGGACGTCTCATCCCTTAGGCCACGATGACTACTAATAATAATAGAAAATAATAATAACAAAAACTAATTATTTATTAGCTTATTCTAAGCAACTAACGAAATGAGTAAACGGTTTTGATTTGTCCTGTGTGCTTAGTGCGAGTTTTTTAACGTTCTCGATAGCGTAAAGTTTAACTCAAATTTGTATGAAGTTAGAACAGCGCCCATAACGGCAAACGTATGCAAACTCGCTTAATAAACTCGAAATAAGAACACTGATATATAATATTGTATATTTATGACTCAACTAGAATTCATACATAATATAGGTGTATTTGGAACTGCAGAAACCAGACGGTTAGTATTTGTGGTTAGGACTACCGTCTGCGGTCGCACAGGTGGAAATTCCTTTAACTTCCGTAAACAGGTTTAATAGATCGAAAACACAGTAGTTACATACAACGATAAAAAGTTTATTTGCCGTGTAAAACTATTACAACCGACAAAAGTGAACAATTTCTTACTTCGCATATTAAATCTATTTGAATTGCATGGATACTATAATAAACTTTCAAACAAATCGTCAGCTAGTTGGCTGTAACTCCACATGTGGGCTTCCTCAGTTAACCTTGACAAGCCAAGTCCTACTTGTTTTACTACCCTGTTTCTACGATCACAGACATGTGTAGAAGTAGTAAGAAGAAGTAGTAACATATCTGAGTCTTTCCCCTAACGTTCCAAGGTAAGCTGCGGTATTCTTGTTGTCATGTTTAAAGGCATCGGTAACTATTTGTCCATTACGCAAGTCGAATTGGAAGTCAATCTCAAACAGCAATCAATTAAGAAGACATTTCTAATTAGTGTGAGCTCATAAAATTGTCCGTAACTAGTAGGTATACAAGATATGAATTTAAGAATTTAGATAGGGTTTCTACGGACCGATAATAGGGAAGTAAAAATACCCGACAACATCATTGTTGTATGTGCCAATCTCATTTAAAAGTGAAAGAATTCCAGTAAGATCTTCTGTGTCCAGTACAATAACATACACTAACCACAACTATGACTGTATGACACCACCATGACACCAATACATATTTAACTACGTATCGTTATGCCGTTACTATTAATAAAGTAAAAAAAACTTAGGGTTCGCAAAGCAATTATACTTTCTAGTTTGGATGGTAGGACACCCTTTATATGTTAATAATATTGAATATTTGATCTCGTGTCTGAATATTCATGTGGTGATATTTGTGAGTTCTGGTAACCATTCAACAATAGCTAACAACTAGCTACATGTATCTTGATTTAATCGCCTTAAAACGAAATATATCGTCTAGTTTGTAAAATAAATTTAAAAAGAAGCTCTGTGGCCATAATAATATGCTATAGTCATAGATATTGAATCCAGAAAAATTACAAGGCTCGGAGTGAAAGCACTACCGTCTAGTTCGTAAAATAAATATATAAGGAAGCTTTGGGGCCATTTGCTATAGTCATAGATATTAAATCCAAAAAAAATTACAAGGCTCAGAGTGGAAGCAACAAGAACATTAAATCGTTTGCGTGGCGTAAGTCGACAATAGCCGTTTGGCATGCTGCAGCCGAGAGTTATGGTGTCACGGCTTTGTCTGGGCTTGGCTCCGGTACCGGGCAGGGTGCCACGGTTCAATGGCACCGCAGACGCAACTGCGTACCTCGGTCTAGCTAGTTCGTCTGCGAGTCTGCGAATTAATTAAAACTTTCCGTTTGACAATGATTTACGATACTTGTTGTGGTAACAATGTTAGGGGGGGTTTGTTTTGTCGCGTAACAGTAAATCGCTTCAGAAATTTCGAATTGAAAGCGTGATGCTGAATTTTGGCGGAGATTGATTTTATCGGTTTTCCGACGAGGGGGCTTTGTTGTTGAACGTTGTTTTAATAAAAGTGGTATTGAGAAAGTTTATGACAGAAGGGAAATGTGATGTTTCAGAAGTTTTAACGTCTTTCATTAAACTTCAGTTCTGAGAGGGCGAAAAGGCGAGTGAATATGGAAAGGCATTCAATAGTATTATTTGTCTAACACGATATGTATCGTTCATATTTACATGCTCCAGGGTGGCCAATAAATATCTGTTCACCTCGGCTTTTCTATTCTTGGGCCGAAACAGTAGTGCGACCAAAATTTTTCTTCTTATCTTTCCAATTATCCTGTTAGCAAAATGGGTTAGTACGTTCCAAACTATATCGGCCCTAAGCTTTGATTTAGACATTGGGCAACAAAAGTACACCGATAGTATTATAAAAAAACTTATTAATTTATACATAATTAACGGAACCATTAAAACGAAATAGGAATACGATATTACTATTAAAACGAAATTAAACTACCTACTACGCATGCAATAAAAACACCAAAGTCATCAAGATTATTTTTTTAACTCGGATCCAATCTTTCACAGAATCATACGGTCTTACAATTCTGCAGCTGATCGTATGCTCTCACACAGAATCTTTAATATAGATTCTGACTTAACCCGTGAATTGAACCTGAACCCCGCGGTACAGTAGCCAATACTATTAGACCAATAGACCAAGAAGGCGATAAAACTAAAGTATTCGCAACTTAGAAGTAAGAACCGACACAACTTTTAATTGTCGTTTTCTCTTTAATATTGTCTTCAGCTTATGTAACTATAAGTTTTCTAAAGTAATAAAACAAATAAATGCTCACCTTTAACTGGATTTAACTTGTTTAGACTGTTTACTTTGACTATCTAGTTGGTAATCTAAAAATAGCTTATTAATTATTTATTAGACGTTTAACAAAAACGTTTTGCCGTCTAAAACTAAGGCACTGGGTTTATGATTTAAAACATTAAAACACACATGAAACCAAAAAAATAAAATAAAAAAGAAATTAAAAAGTAGCCTATGTTCATCAGGGACAATGTCGGCTTCTAATGGAAAAAGAATTTTTCAAATCGGTCCAATAGTTTCGGAGCCTATTCGAAACAAACAAACAAACAAACAAATCTTTCCTCTTTATAATATTAGTATAGATATAGATAATATGCGGGCTTAGTTTTTTTTTAAATTGATAATTACCGAGAGCCCTCTCTCTTAACTTCTTATTTGATTGGGTTGATATATATATCGTTAGCTCGAGACAGTATCTCCATCCTGTCTATTGTAACCGCGAGATAATCACACAATCCGGCTTTAAGTGTGTAATAGCTGCGTAAGGATGCAATTTACCCTTCTGTCTGATGTGTTAAGTTTGGTAGCGGCCCTCAGATTATGTTTATCTATGGTAGTCGTTAAACTACTTTAAAAAAGTTTTTTTATAAATATAATCCAATAAGATTAACATAATATAATAAAATGAAACACTGCGTCTTTGTCTACGATATATGTCTCCGTCTTATTCATGTTTTCAATTAAAACTAAGTTCATAACAACTAATACACCGTCCTAGAAGTTATCATCGTTAAAGAGCTTAGAGATAATAGATATGTATATAGTGTAGACGTGTATATCAGACTGGGCTAATTTAGAACAATCGACCCGTCGCACCGTTGGGGCCCAAAGGAAAGCCCATTTTCACTAACACCACTTTGAAATTTCTTGTTTACCATTGGTCTGTCAGTGAAAACGGACATCGGGCTTAGGTTTTCTATGAAGTGATTGTAATGTTTAATCGTTTCTGTTTCACGTTATTTATTGACTTTAATGAAGGCTAGAGAATTTCATTACAAAATAAATAACCGCCGTAGCGCACCGGGTGTTGGAAAACATTCAATAGAATCGATGAAATACACGTTTATCATGAGTCATAAGTGCCTATCACGCCTGACGTAGATTTAGGTACTTTTATTATAATAAGAACATTCATAGCATTCACCATGGTTTTATAAATATCGTTCGGCTCCATGCGTGGGATTGAATTATTATAGCATTAAGTGTTAGGAACTTTTACACAAAGATGAATGGGAAACCATTCTAATAGTATAGGATAGGTAATATATATTTTTGTCATTAACAAATAGTGCGTCAGTCAGACGTCCATAACAACCTTAGATTCAATTGTATGTATTTTTTAAAAATAGATCATTCACGCATTTGTACAATATGTGTGTGTGTCCAACGATTGCCAAACTTATTTGATTTATTTTGATAACACAATTGCACGTCATAAATGACGGCCTACACGTTGTTGACGTGTCGTATTCTTTAACGATTCGGAAAACATACGATGAAAGAAGAACCGATTCGATGCGCGTGTTCTCAAATTTTAAGATACGCCAAAAATAATAACGCAAATCCACGTTTTTAGCAAAATTCTTTTATAGCTAACATGTGGTTAGCGCAACCATAAAATTGTGCTCTGGAGTGTATCATGCGCCGATATTTACGTGCTCAATGATGGATCGAATCATTGTTCGAGGTCGGGGAGTCGGTTCGCATTCAGATATAAGCGAAACGAGGGACAGACACCGCCTGCGACTGAATTTGCTTACGTTTAATGACTGTATCAAACGGGGCGCAAACGATTGTGCAGTGGCGCTTATCTGGCCTGCAGTGTAATCGCGTTCCTCTGTTGGCTACTACGCGCAGACACCGCGCACGCACATCTGCATATACCACGTTCTACCTGTGTTCTCCTTCAGTCTGAGTCTTTCGGCTCAAAAACCGATTTTATGAGTGAAAGGTGTGTAGTTCTCGTATCCGATACCAGGCCCTAATCTAATTAAAGTACGTTTTGTGTAGGCGCTGAGTAGTTAAATATTAATTGTGTCTTTTAGGAGCAACAGTATAATGAATTTGAAGCTGAACAACGATGTGAAGAGCTCTATCAACACGGTCAAGTCCCGTGAATCGATTATAAAGGTGAGATAATATTTGAGGTCCACTCAGTTACGGCAATTTATACTCTACACACTCAATTACTGTAAAGTTGTAATATTTGAACATTTAAACATCTCCTTTTTAATACGCTTTTGTTAGCTTCAAATGTATGTATGTAATGAAATCTCTGGAAAACGGATTAACTCGAAATTTGGTACACTTATTAGGGACCGATGGCAATTCAATATTTAAAAAAATAATAATGAAAAATTTGAAATTCAACTAAAAAATTAAAAATAAAGAATAGTTTAATACAATAAAATCATTTTTTCTTACACTACTCTTATTCAAATTCATTAAAATTTATTTTCTATTTTTTAATTGGATTTTCTATAAAAGGGTATTTTTTTAAACTGTTATTTTTACCTTTAATAACCATTGAGAAGATTTATTCATTGAAACATTTACGAACGCAAAGTTTTGTACAAAATTATTATTTTTATTGGAATAAAATTCTTATTTTGACGATTCTCTTTCTGGTTTTAAATATCGTTTTGTTGTATCGCCGATTTAATATTTAAAATACGAACAAAGAATTCGTCAACATTTACGAGATTCACGTCCATAAAATCAGTTTCAGTATTAAATAATTTTAAATTATCAACCGAGTTTTGCGTGGATAGCAAAATCTGCAAAGATAAAGACTTGCCTCTGCAGCACAACGCCTTAACAACGTAAAACAGCAGCGTTTGTAAATAACAACGCTGTAATAATGTTAGTTTATTTATGCATAATCAAACGTTGAATGAAATGTACGCAGAAAATTAAGTCAGCAATTTTATAATCACGAGTATTAGCGCGATATAAATAACTTTGTATTAACGAAAAAAAAACAGAGAGCTATCTTAAGGATATCCCGTTGGAATGGAGTTCCTTTGCCTATATTTCTTTTCAATAATATTTTTTTTAAGTAATTATTAAATAAGAAATAAAGAGTCAGTATAAAATAATGAAATGAATCGCGAATGAATTTGGAAACGTAGATAATTTTTTGGAATTTTATTGAATTAAAAAAAAAAGTATATTATTTATGATTTATTATAAGTATATAAAATATTTTGCCATATGTTTGAAATTGACGAAAAGCTGAATCGATAGACAAGTTTCAGCTTCCTAGGTGATCTGGAAGTGCCCTAAAAATCACTGTAAAAATGTCGATCATTGGTGTTGTATTTCATTATTATACAATACAAAATCGTCGTGGCCTAAAGGATAAGACGTCCGGTACATTCGTATCTAGCGATGCACCGGTGTTCGAATCCCGCAGCCAGGTACCAATTTTTCTAATGAAATACGTACAAAGAAAATGTTCACGACTGACTTCCACGGTGAAGGACTAACATCGTGTAATAAAAATCAAACCCGGAAAATTATAATTTGCGTAATTACTGGCGGTTGGACGTCTTATGAGTCCGCACCTGTAGGTACCACCACCCTGTCTATTTCTGCCGTGAAGCAATGAAGTTTCGGCTTGAAGGGTGGGGCAGGCGTTGTACTATAAAAACTGAGACCTTAAACTCAAGGTAGGGGGCGGCGATTACGTTGTAGATGTCTGTGGGCTCCTGTGACCACTTAACATCAGGTGAGCCGTGAGCTGACACAAGCCTGAGCAATAAAAAAAAACACTTCTTTCGGTCTAGCTCCTCAACCCACAAGCAAAACGTGCGATAAGGAACTTCGTTCCAAAAGTGAATTTGTTTACTTCCTAACATCTTCCACTGCTCTCCAAACCAGTTAAATTACTTGTTAGAAACTATTATTACTGATCTTGACCAATGAAAACTAAAAAGAAACAGTGCTTCATGGCTCATATGCCATTCCCGATCCTGCGGACTGAATGGTAAACAGTCGACGTCGCTCTAAACACGTCGTTTCTCGCCGGATCTTCTCAATGGGTCGCGTTTCCGATCCGGTGGTAGATTCTGCGAAGCATTGCTCTTACTAGGGTTAGTGTTAGCAACGACATCAGGTTTGAGCCCCGTGAACTCACCTAATTGTTAGGGTTACGCTGAAATGGCCTCTCAAGGCCATCAGCTTAGATAGGAAAAAAAAGTTCATATTACTATGTATAGTTAGACGCCGAGCATACTACTGTTTGTATGGTTGTTATATGAGTCGACTATTATCAAAGCCGGCAATCTGACTTTTGGACAATTATTGGTAAATCAGAAAAACGAATTATTGACTTTGTATTCCATTGGCAGTCACAAAACTCTTGGGAACGACATCTTAGATAAATAACAGGTTAACTATTAACCTTTATTTAATGCAGGTTTTGAACCGTATTCTTTGAAGGAGACGATTATATTCAAATCAATCTGTATTGACATATCAATAACATTTTTTTGTCCAAATGCACAGATTGCCACCTTTGATAATAGACGACTCATATGTAGGTCTAAACGAGGTGGATAAAAGGTTGGACGAAGTTCATAAAAATCAAATTGGTATTCGCGGAGTAAACGCCTACATTCTTGTAAGAAATTGCTACGTAAAAATTTCCGACAAAATAACTTTTATTTACCTTTCCTAAATAATGTACCTACCTACGAGATGAATATAAAGAAGATACTTAGGAGCAACTTTTTTTCTTGTTCATTTTATATAATCAAAATACGTTCTGCCTACGTTATCGTGATTCCGTTACTCCGGACTCTCGACATCTTGATTTCTGGCTGATGTATCAGGAAACTAATGATATTTAAAATTTTCAAAATATGTGTAAAAGGTAGAATTTTTATTATGGTTCTGTCTTGGCTTCTTTTAATATCGTAGTTGAGCAAAAGCACTCTTCTGGTGTTCGGCGGTTACTGGAGTCTGTATAAATCTCGTAAATTATGCATTGCTTTCTGATAAGAAATAGATTCGTCTACATTTTTACATAAACTTACGTGGCCTACGAATAAATTTCACTATCTGAATTCATTGTGATGAAGCTTTGTACAATTTATTATATTTCAACGACCAATTAGTTTTTGTAGGTTTCAATATATTTCGTTTATCTCGCGGACTGCTTTCCGAAACCTCCAATGATTTGGATGAAATTTTATAGGTAAATAAGTTTTTCCTTTACAACTTTCTCTACGTAAGGTATCTTCCCTGTACAAGCCGTGATTTGTTCAACATTTCTTCGTAAACGCCATTTTTTTTCTTTTTTTTTTATTGCTTATACTTGTGTGGACGAGCTCACAGCTTACCTGGTGCTACGTGGTTACTGGAGTCCATAGACATCTACGACGTAAATGCTCCACCCACCTTGAGATATAAGTTCTAAGGTCTCAAGTAAAGTTACAGCGGCTGCCCCACCCTTCAAACGGAAACGCATTACTGCTTCACGGCAGAAATAGGCATGATGGTGGTACCTACCCGCGCGGACTCACAAGAGGTCCTATCACCAGTAAACACACATTTTTACACAAATACACATTTTTTAAACATTATTTCGTAGTTCTCCGAGTTATTTGCGTTGTTGCTGTTAGACATCAGCACAATGGGGTCTCACAAGCTTTATGTGATGGTATTACAAAACAACTTTATCAACCTGCTAAAAATACTTTGTTGTATAAAATTTGGTATTTTTTTTAATTAATGTTAGAGTAATATAGTATAATTAAGCGATACAGTGGCGTGTAGCTATATTTATAAACTAGCGACCCGCCCTCGCTTCGCTTCGGAAACATTAAAACACACATGAAACAAAAAAATAAAAATAAAAAAAGTAGCCTATGTTCATCAGGGACAATGTCGGCTTCTAATGGAAAAATAATTTTTCAAATCGGTCCAGTAGTTTCGGAGCCTATTCGAAACAAACAAACAAACAAATCTTTCCTCTTTATAATATTAATATTATAATATTATTAGTATAGATATAGATATGATAATTGTAAAGTTTTAGAATTTCGAACGACAAATGCTTATCAATACTATTCGATATAACCATGAAATGTTTTACTAAAATCAAATTGAGTAACTACTATAAAACATCTACTATTACTATCCGACGTTTGAGATTTTGTTTGTTTCATTCATCTCACATATTCCAGTCTCCTACGCCCACCACGGACTGCGTTCATTAACAAAGAATGTAAAGAGTCGTTGGAAATTATAAATCAAAATACAAATGAATCTAAGATTAGACAGTAAAAACATTTCAATCTAGTCGTTTTCATTGAGCATTTCAATCTTGTATAACTACCAAAAAAAAACATGTGTGCAATTCACACGTGGTAGAAGTGAAACCATCCAAAATTCAAATACAATTATCCTAAACGTCTTAAGTATATGTAAAATTTTGTCATTAGTAAATAATTGTAAGGTAGCGCCCTCTGTGAATTGATATTTTAATTTCACGTATAATCCTAAATTAAAATTCACTACAAGAGCTTTCATACACACGTTAGTATTAAAAAATCTCACAGATGGCGCTGTATTAAATAGTATGTATATTTCTGTCTCATTCTTTGCTGGCTTCATCCTACACATTTTTGTATTTGTGTCTCTTACCTGTCGTTTTTTCCGTTGCATCCGGTTTGAAATCACAACGATTCTAAAGAAGTTTCACTTCAAAAATATTCAAAGTTGCTGGCCCAAAACGTTTATGTGAATGATCGACAAACAAGTAATACCGCCATTCAGGAAATCTGAAATGATTTTCCTCTCATCGCCTCGAACATTTCGCTCCGTATGTAAACGCAGGTGTTGATGTATAACATAACGCGCTCATATAATAATTTATTATACCGATATATTGTATACATACAGTAATGATTGAAGCAATTTGGTAACTGAAGTTATCGCAAATGCGTAATACGATCTGCTAAATGCAAAACGTAATAGGGTACCTACGTACAATTATAACTGTTAGTACACGGTTTCATGAATCGAAGCACAACCGATTTCCATAACAGGCGAGGGAAGATCTCCAGCCATATTTTTTTGAATCATTAAACTTTATTGTCAAATAACGTCCATTACAATGAGCA